GCGGTGGCTCATCGCGCGGGTAGAAGAGAAGGGAATTGGGAAAACAGCCTGGGTTTAGTTCCCTTGTTTCTTAACTGCGTGAGCTTTGGGAATGAACTCGGTCTCACTCGGACCCGGCTTATTTATAGTGGCTGACGTGGAGGGTTGATGAAGCAGGTGCCCCGACCTCCTGTAGAAGGAAGGCCTCAGTCACCCAGAAGGGGAGGGGACGCTCCTGCCACCGAGGCCTTAGCAATCCATTCTGTGGTTTCCTGCCTTGGGTAATGCGAATGACATGGAGACAGGCTGGGCATCTTTTTAGGGGGACAAAAATCTTCCCGTGGTCCTCGCTACATTATTTACTCGTGTGTTTGGTTTTATTGTCTGAATTTATCAAGTGTTGAGATGATAAATAAATCCTTTTGTAGATTGAAAATGATTGAACAGAACTCTATTAGATGTGGACTTGGCCTTTTTCTTAATCCCTTTGGCCCCGGGGGCAGCACCTCTGGAAGCATGGTGTTCTCACCTCATCAGCCTCGTGTTTTGGCAATGGCTTGTGTCTCCTGTCTGGGAGTAAGACTCCCTAGTTTGGTTCGGGAGTGACTGACCTTTTCCATGAGTCCCTCGCTTTTCTGGCCAGATACCAGCCGCATCTCTGTGTGGTTCCCTGCCATCTCCCTCCCACCATGTCCACCTCCTGCAAGCGTCTTGTTCTCCCGTGGGGTGCTCTGAACGTGACACAGTATCTGTGTTCACTGTGTCCTGATGCTCACCTACAGGGACCCTGAGCACAGAGAGTAAAGGAAGACTCGGCTTGCCGGAGGGCCGTTTCTCTCCCTCCACCACAGCGGCTCAGGGTGCGCTCACTTGTTTGCTTGTTTTATTTTATTTGGTCGGTGGGAGGCTCTGGCCACGCCGATGATTCTGAGAGACCTATTGGTGTGGCTACCAACCAAAGGTTCCCTAGGTCAGAACATTTCAGAACAGACACAGTGGCAAGGGGTTCTTATGGATGACTTGGGGGATTCTGATGGGCGAAAGGCAAGGTTTCTGCCTTCAAAGAGGGATTGGAGAATGAGAGGACTGGCTCTGGGGGTGGAGAGGTTGAGGGGACGGTACCCAGCCATAGATGCCAAAGTGCCTAAAGAGAAATTCGGTTCAGAAGAACCTCAAAGAGCAGCACATCACAGTGGAAAACCTGTGATGTAAGGTTTTCCAGTGGAAAACTCAAAATGTAAGGACTCTGTGGAGAGCCAAGGGCAGCTATTAAGTATTCTGGCATCTCTGAGCCCTCTGAGGCCTTGAGTCAGGGCACGATCTTCTGGACCAGTTTATTCATCCTTCATCCTTCCATCCTTCATCCATTTATTTATCCATCCATCTATCCATTCCTCCATCCATCCATCCATCCATCCATCTGTTTGTTTATCCCTCATCTATCCATCTATCCATCTATTCATCCATTCACCCATCCATTCATTTTTCCATCCATTCATCCATCCATCCCTTCAATCCTCATCCATCTATTCATCTACCCATTCATCCATCCATCCCTCCATCCATCCATCTATTCATCCATCTACCTATTCCTCCATCCATCCATCCACACATCCATCCATTCATCCATCCATCCACCCACCCATTCCTCCATCCATCTATCCACTCATTTCTCCATTCATCCACCCATCCATTCATTCATCCATCCACCCATTCCTTCATCCATCCATCCATCCATCCATCCATCCATCCATCCATCCATCTACCTATTCCTCCATCCATCCATCCATCCATCCATCTGTCCATCCATTCATCTAACCCTCATCCATTTCTCCATCTATCCATTCATTTATCTATTCATCTACCCATTCCTCCACCCATCTACCCATCATCCATACCTCTTCCATTCATTCATCCATTCATCTACCCATCCATCCACCCACCCACCCATCCATCCACCCACCCATCCATCTACCCATCTGTTCATTCCTGTGACTAATAGGCATTAGCACAAGTGAGGTACTGACCGGCACGTGGGTGGATAAGCAGACAGGACCATTTGGGACTAGTCTGGAGGGCCTCCCTGTCCGTGAATGCCAGTGTTTCTCAGCATAGACAGAGCCCCCAGCAAGGTGGAGGCCAGCCCACTCCCATCCCGCCTTCCCTCTCAACACCTCTGAACGAGAAGGGCTGGACCCCGAGCTGTGCGGAGCAAAGTCTGGACCCCTCATTTAGAACAGTAAGGCCTCCTGCCCCCAATGGCCTGGCCTGGCTGGTGACCCCGATCACACTCTTCTGTGACTGAAGGCGGTGGCACACAAATGCTTCCCATGCCATTTCCCTAGGTAGTTCCCTGGTGTGACATGTGTTCAGATTAACTTGTGAGTGATAGCAGATGCTGATATTCTTACCAAAAGAACCCGGTGTTTAGGTTTCTCTGGGCCCTGTTGGATCATCCATGTGCCGCCCGGGGACTTGGGCACGTGTGGCTGAGCGTGTGATCCCATCCAGGGGGACCGTGGGCTGTGATTTGTGTGTCGGGGCGGTTCTGTGGCTTCGCCTTGAACGTGGAGCTGGTGCTTTGTCTCATCTCTGCCACGTCGATCACGGCTTTAATTTGGCCTCCTTATTTTTAACTTTTCTCTGCCCAACCGCCATTCTGTGTTATTGGGTTTTATCCCAGCTTTTTAAAACACTGAGAGTGAATCTAAACGATGGAATCTCTCTCAGGCCCTGCGCCTGCTTTTGTGGTCAGTTCATTAAAAAGTGGTTGATCAGCCTCCGTATTATTCCGGCGTGGCATATTTTTTTGAAAGTCATTTGAGAAATATCTTTATTTAAGTAGCTGAAACTGTTCCAGCGCTTAATGAGAAGCAGCATATTGCAACCGCTTGAGTGGTATCTTGAGGCAAAATAATTACCCTGTAATAATAACACATGTTCTCGCAAACTTGTTCTTATCGCAGCAGGCTGGAGCGGGGTCTTCCTTAAAGCTCCGGGGGACCCTGGGGTGCTCTCGTGAGCAGCCACATTCTAAAACTGAAGGAAAAATTAAGGACAAAAAATGTATCCTGGCCACAAACCTGGTGCTTCTGTGCTTTGGAGGAGTGCATTCTCTCAGTGACAGGCGGTTGCCCTGGCCCCGCTGCATCACGGGGGTGGGACAGCTCTGATGAGTGGGTCTAATGCAGGACTGTCTGACGCGACCGCCACGGGTCCGGTGGGCAAGGCAGGCCATGTCCCCCTAGGCCTCCTGTGCCGGACATCTGAGGGCTGAATGGGACGGGGGACCCCAGCTCGAGACTGGAGGGTTTTGTGTATACAAATATGCCCCAGATTCAGTGTTTTTGTCTTGGCCCTGTGTTCGTATTGGGGTGGATGCCCTAAATGCCCGTGCTTAGCCGTTGTCACCAAATTAGCAAACTCGGCGGGGAGAGCTGTTTCCCAGATGTAACCAACCAGGCATGTCCCGAGTTTGCAGAACCTGGCCGCCCTCTGGCTGCAGGAGGGTTAGGGTCTGTGCGCTCAGTGAACGAACCTGGCCAGGATCCTCATGGGCCTCGGTCCACAGTCACTGTCACTCTGCTCCCTCCTCTCTGGGCGGCTCTGCCCACCAGGTTCTGCAGGGACGGAGACGGCAAACCAGACCACGGGCCGTTTATCGCACTGGTTTGGGTCCTGGCCCCCAGGGCTCGGTTTCTCGGTGAGAGTACTGCAAACCCCTCTCTCAGGGCCGACCACGTCCTCAGTGTGAGAGGGATGCAGTGACGTGGGGCGCGGCAGCTGGCTGTGGCGGGAGGCAGCGACGGAGATCTTTGTCTTGTAAAGATTTATTTTTATTTTTAGAGAGGAGAAGGGAGAGAGAAAGAGAGGGAGAGAAATGTCAATGTGTGGTTGCCTCTTGTGTGCCCCCTACTGGGGATGTGGCCCGAAACCCAGGCCTGCGCCCTAGACTAGGAATTGAACCAGTGACCCTTTGGTTCAGAGGCCGGCACTCAGTCCAATGAGCCACACCAGCCAGAGTGGGAGACCTTCTTAAATCCCCTTTCTCCCTCCTCCTAAGCTACCTGGCCATCCGTGGTGAGGACAGGGGCCTCTCAGGCAGGAGTGGCCAAGGAGAACACATTGTCAGAGAGCATGGTCCTAGCATGTCACCTGGGTTTCCCTTGCTCTCTGGGCTGCTTCCTGCTGCCTGAACGGAGGCAGGTGACGCCCTTTGTTGTCGGTGAGCTCAGGCTCGTTCCTTTGCACCCTGCCTTTGTGCAGAGAAAGGCGGTCATGTGAAAAGGAGGATCTGGACTGAGCTCTGTTGCCGTCAGCCTATTCTAGGGCAATAAAACAAAGTGTAGGAAACGAGCTGGTGGAAGGCTCGGCTCTCCGGGGTCATCTATGACAGCTCAGGTTGCGTCCTTCCTCACAGACCTGCGCCAGTCCAGGTTCGGACACCTGCGACGTTTTGCTCGGGGGCTTCAGAATGTACGTTATCAATGAATCAGCCGGTATTCCTGGCAGAGCTCTTGTTAAGGCACTTTCATAACTATTAAAGGCTTTTAAAAATGTTATTTAAACAAGTAAACAGTGACCGAAACCAGCATTTGAAGCATAGGACAAACGGCGCTCAGATAAGACATCCTGCCTGCGGGTGAGAGTGTTTTCAACGCCCGACTCTGAGAAGGCAGCTGAGCAGAGGCTGTTTGCTAAGACCTTGTGACTTGAGAAAAGGACTTAATTTTCACATTTTTAAAATTAGGGCTTTTTCAGTGATACTTTTCCTACATTGCTTTCAGACATCCTTATTTTGGTCTGTTTCTTTGATTTGGCATGTGCTAATTCTCTTGGTTAATTTGGAGAACGCTGCATATAATCGTCTGGGTTTTTCAGGGCAAAACCTCGCCGCTTTCACGGAGGCTGGAGAGGGCGCCTCCCAGACAGACTCGGGTCGGGTCTAACTGCAGTGCCAGCCCGACAGAGGTGCCCGAGCCTGAGTGTGTAATTATGCAATTTTTTTCTTGATCTTGCAGAGTCTTCCTGCGAGCGATTAATCAGTATGCAGATATGCTGAACAAGAAATTTCTGGACCAAGCCAACTTTGAGCTTCAGGTAAGAGGAGAGGTGTGCGCAACCTCAGCTGGGAAATCATGTTAAAACAAATTGCTCATCTGAGCCAGCATCATTTGTTTCTAATCCGCGGCCTTAATCGGTCTCCCCTGCAAGGTGTGGGAACAGCGTGCACAGTATGTACTATCGAACCTGAGCGCTGAAAACTGTGCCTTCGGGGTATTTGCTGAAGCTAACAAAGAAGGTGATGGAGCCTCTTCAAAGAGAAGGACCTGAATCAGTGACAGGCAGGCACTCGGCAGCCCCTACTTCTCAGTCAGTGTGGCCACCAGGGTTTCCTCAGACGCCTATAGTGCAGGGCGGAGGCGGAGCGGGTTCTGGTCGCTGAGCTCAGCTCGCTCTTGGAACTCAGCAGCCCCCCGCCCCCGTGTGTTTTCTCTGAACTTTGTCCTGCCACAGCGGCCTCGGCCAGGCAGAAAACTGCATACATGTTTGTGCATGTGTGTGTGTGCAGGCAAGTGTGTGTGTGGTAAGGGTGGGTGTTGCCTGGCATGAATTCCTATGTGTCTGATGTTCCTGGCCACCAGTCCGTTGTACCCTGTGTGGATGTGCTTCTGCCAGTAACGATTTGGTCGTCATTGTTACTTAGTTTCATTCACCAAAGTTTGCAAATAAAAGAGCACCCACATGCAAGTGGCCTGTTAGTTTCCGGGACAGGATCCCCCTCCGAGAGGAACCTGGGGAATTTCTGCACACTCAGTGGGTGGTCCAGGTAAAAAATACATACGGAAATGGCAGCTGGACCCCCACGTACGTTCCCTGGTGCATTGCCTCCCGAAAATTTAGCACTAAGCCATCCTTTTAGATAGAGTCCTAAGGTGCCTACACGCTCGTTCCTTTTAATCCACGTAGTCTGTACTTCTTTTAAGTTTAAAATTTTGACTTTTACATGTTTTCCTTGTCTAGTGTCAAATATGTATATAATCAGAAAAAGCCTAACCCTAACCCTAAGCCTAATAAATAGTACACACAATAGAAATGTGTGTATTATTTATTTAGTAAGGGCTCCCGTAGAGCTGGCATTTATAAAGGTGCTCGCGGCTGCCCAGCTCCACCAGGAAGACTCTGCCTGCAGTCCCCCTCTGACCTTCCAGCAGCCCTACAAGGCAGGTGCTGTCGGAACCTCCGTCTTACCTATGAGGAACCAAGCGAGGCCTAGAGGGGTGAGCTGTTGCCCTGAGTAAGTGGCGGAGCTGGATTTGCGCACGTGCCCGAGACCTCGGAGCCCATGTGCAGCCCTGAACCGCAGCCTAGTTAGCGGCTGGTCAGCAGTTTGCATGCGGTGAGAGTGGCATTGACACATCTCGGAAGTGTGCTGGGCAGACAATGCGAAGCCGTTCAACTCCCCCTCCTTCCCCACCCGGTTTTCAGCTCTGGAACAACTACTTTCACCTGGCGGTCGCTTTCCTCACACAAGAATCCTTGCAACTGGAGAACTTCTCAAGCGCCAAGAGAGCCAAAATCCTTAACAAGTAAGTCCGTGTCCTGCCCCTAAACCTTGGGCCTCAGACTCTCTTAGCATAGTTTGCGTGGCATCTCTGAGCCAACTTGGTACAAATTGAGATGTAATCACAGCGTAATGAGAGGGTGGTTTCCAGTCGGGAATCAGGTATCATTGTCTTTTCTAACTCACGAGTGGAATCAGATATAAAGTTGCAGGATTGGTTCTGGCGGGTTCAGAGTCAGTGTTAATGTGAGACTGTTAACACTGCCCAGAGTGGGAGTTTCGGGGGGCCATCACTTTTGCTGTGCGCTGCTCCACGTCGTACCACACATGGTCCACATTATTGCTTAATCCTGCCACGCCGAGTCGGAAAAGGGAGCCTCGAACGAAGCTCTTGGCAGCCAGGCCACTGTTGAAGGGCTCCCTGCGGAGCTGGGGCAGCTGCAGGAGACAGACAAGGGGCCGACTCCCGGTCCCAGGAAAGGGAGGTTTCCTTCCCCGGTTTCTTCCCCACCTGCGGGGCAGTGATTTCACACTTCCCGGGGTGCCCCTTGCCGAAGTATTTTTGAGATGAGTTCTCAGATGGGCCCCTCACTGCCCCCTCATCAGTTCCCGTCGGTCGCAGCGTGATACCTCTGTAGTTTCCTGCCTGTCCCAGGGCTCTGCCGCCCTGGCCACTCACTGAGATTAGGGATTCCAGAGGGGGACTCCAGGTGGCCACGGCTCAGCCTTTCTCGTGTTCTGTGCGTGGACATCTTACTCGCGGGCAGGGCGAGGGCATGTTGTCCCGGGTAGTCAGCATTCGTTCACCGACTTTTTAATGAGCATGTACTACGTGCTGGTGCCATTCTGAGCACTCTGTGTGCGCTTTTCACCTATAATCCTTCAAATAAAACTTGTCAGGGTCTCCTAGCATTGTTCCTTTCCAGAGGAGGAAGGTGAAGGCCTGTGACCAATGTCACATGCGTCATTCTGACCCAGGCAGTTCAAGGCTCAGGGTTCGCCCCTGGGCTGCTGCTGGTCCTGAGGTCCTTCCATCTGCACCCACCTAAGTGAAGGCCAGCTTCCCCAGCATCTCTCCTCCGAGTGTCCTCAGGGGAGGGGCTCCGAGCTGTTGGTCATGGACGGAGCCCGAGCTCTCACTCAGAGGAGTGATGGACGTGCCCCTGGACAGCACGGGCCCAGTGGGGGCCCCGGGACTGCGGGAGGGTGTGCTGAGCAGCGGCCCCTCCTCAGAGCCAGCCTGGGTTTTCATTGCTGGCTCTGGTGGCACCTTCTGGGGACCGGCCAACAGGAATGTGGCCACTTTGCCTTGGGGCATCTGCAGAGCTAGAGGTGGTGACGGTTGTTGCTGTCCTTGTGTGAACGCTGTCACAGTGAGAGGTATTACCATAAGCGCACATGCTGAGAACCACACGGCATGGCATGTCCACAGCCACCTGGAGCACGGGATTCTGCTCGTTTGCTCCAAGAAGGGAAGCCAGATGCTACAGGCAGAGTCACCTGTGCACGTCACCTGCATAGGTGTGTGCAGGGCTCACGGTGTGGTGACCCACACCCAGCTCCAGGCGATGGCAGAGCGCACCCGACACTTCCTTAGAGACGCCTGAGGGAGGAGTGAGTTTAAACCAGAACCTGCCTTTAGGAAGCTGGCCTGTCCCCAGGGGCGTTTGCCAGGCCAGGGCGGCTCCACCCTGCGTTCTTTCGCTTGTTAGTTGGGCATCACCCTGAGCTGAACATCAGTAAATACGTTCTCCGCACAGGGCTTTGGCCGCCAAAGAAAGCGATTGCTTCCCTCAAAGCCCTGTGTGTTCACAGGCTTCAAAGCCAAGGAAAATTAACCTCAGCTGGCCCGGTCTTCCCCTCCAGAGTCGGCAGCACTGGGGCTGGGGTGCCTGGCAGGGTCACCTGGGGGTGCTGTGCTTGTGTGTTTGGAAGGACAGTTGACGGGCGACAATGTGTTAGTTTCAGGTGTATGACATGATGGTTCCACACCACAAAGTGGTCACTGCAATGACTCAGCTTGCCATGTGTCCCTACAGTTAGAAAAAGCTTTTTCTTTTTTTTAAATTATTTTATTGATTATGCCATTACATTTGTTCTATTCCCCCCCTTATTCCCCTCCACCCTGCACACCCCCTCCCCCACCATTCCCCCTGCTTTAGTTTATGACCACGTGTCTCAAGTTCTTTAGATTCTATATTTCCCCTACTATTCTTGCCCTCCCCCTATTTTCTATCTATGGTCTGTGTTACTTATTTTCTGTACCTTCTCCCCCCTTCTCCTCCCACTCCCCTGATGCTAACCCTTCATGTGATCTTCATTTCTATGGTTCGCTCCTGATCTAGCTGTCCTCTTAGTTTGCTTTTGTTTTAGGTGTGGTTCTTAATAACTGTGAGTTTGCTGTCCTTTCACTGTTCATCTTTTTTATTTTCTTTTTCTTAGGTAAGTCCCTTTAACATTTCATATAATAAGGGCTTGGTGATGATTAACTCCTTGAATTTGATCTTATCTGAGAAGCACTTTATCTGTCCTTCCATTCTAAATGAAAGCTTTGCTGGATAGAGCAATCTTGGTTGTAGGTCTTTGGTTTTCATGACTTGCAGTACTTCTTTCCAGCCCCTTCTTGCCTGTAAGGTCTCTTTTGAGAAATCAGCTAACAGTCTGATAGGAATTCCTTTGTAGGTGACTGTCCCCTTATCTCTTGCTGCTTCTAGGATTCTCTCCTTCATTTTAATCTTGGCTAATATGATTATGATGTGCCTTGGTGTGTTCCTTTTTGGGTCCAACTTCTTTGGGACTCTCTGAGCTTCCTGGATTTCCTGGAAGTCTATTTCCTTTGCCAGATTGGGGAAATTTTCCTTTATTATTTGTTCAAATAAGTTTTCCACTGGTGGCTGTTCCTCTTCCCCTTCTGGTACCCCTATAATTCGGATGTTGGAGCGTTTAAAGATGTCCTGGAGGTTCCTTAGCCTCTCCTCATTTTTTTTTTAAATTCTTGTTTCTTCATATTTTCCTGTTTGGTCATTTTTTTCTTCCTTCTGGTCCATTCCCTTGATTTGAGTCCCAGTTTCCTTTCCATCACTATTGTTTTCCTGTGCATTTCCCTTCATTTCAATTAGTTTAGCCTTCATATGTTCCTCTAATTTGTGGCTAAAATCAGCCAGTTCTGTTAGCATCCTGATCACCAGTGTTTTGAACTTTGCCTCTGATAGGTTGGCAATTTCTTGTTAACTTAGATTTATGGACTCTGGGGCTCTGAGTTCTTCTTGAGCCATGTTTTGATCTGTTTGCACCTGTTACGTATGAGGAGTGGAGCCTTAGGTGTTCATCAGGGCGGGACCACCCAGGTGGCTGGTTTGTATGTGGGGGCGGGATCAAAGAGGAGCAATGGCAGTCCCCTCTGCTCCTTCCTGTGCTGGGGCCTGTGAGGTCTGTCTCACTGCTCGCTCCTTTGCTGGTTTATCTGGGTGCGAATGTGTGACCATGGTCAGCCTGCTGCCTTGCACCTTCACTGGGTCCGCCTGTTGCTACCCCACACCTGGGATTGGCCCTTGGCTGCCTGGGTCAGGGGATCTTTTTCGCCCAACCCTCTCTGCTGCTGGCTCCGCCCCTCTTACTGTTTTGGCTGAGGGTTTGTTGTTGTTGGACTCCGTATTGTTCAATTTTCTGTGGTTTGGCTGCATTTATTGTTGCTAAAACTTTGTTATTTTCAGATTTGGTTGTGCGAGAGGGCAAAGTGTTTCCACCTACGCCTCCATCTTGGCGGAAGTCAGAAAAAGCTTTTTCTTGTAGGGGCAGCTTTTAAGACTGACTTTCTAGCAGCTTTCAAATGTGCAACACTTTTATTGGTGCCAGTCTCCATGCTGCAGGCTGCACCCCACGACTTGTTTGTTTGGTCTCTGAGGGTCCACATGTCTGGAACCTGCACCCCAGACACCCCCGCTCCCCAGCAACCACCGCTCTCTCCTCTGTATCCTTGACTTTGGTTTGTTTGATTTGTGTTCGAGTCCACGTGCGAGTGAAATCACGTGGCGTTTGTCTCTCTCACCTGTTACACCAAGTGTGACTCCCTCAAGGTCCGTCCACGGTGCTGCTGATGCCCAGGGCTGTCCGTTTCACGGCTGGAGAGCATTGCACTGAGTGCGTGGGGGGCGGGGCAGTGGGTTTGCAGTCGTCGGGGAACACGGTGCGGTGACGACAGTAACACGGGAACAAAGCCCGTGTCTCACGTTCTCACAACCGCCAGCCGGCTCCCGCCCCACCCGCATGCGCCCGCCTCCCTCACCATTCCTTCCCGGCGGGCACCTGGGTGCCCCCAGATCTCGGCGACTCAAACAACACTGCAGCCACCGTAGAGGTACACATGTTTGCTTTCTGTTTTTGAATTAATTAGTGTTTTCACTTTCTTCAGATGAATTCCAGAAGTGGAATTGCTGGGCCATTTAGGGATCCCGTTTTTTATTTTTCTGGGGAACCTTCACACTGTTTTCCCCAGCGGCTGCGCTAATACGTGTCCCACGAGGACCCCTTTCTCTCGCCAGCACTGGTGGTTTCTTGTCCTTTTGGTAACAGGCGTCCTGACAGACGGGAGGAGGCGGGGTCCAGCTGCAGCTCTGATGTGCGTCCCCCATAGTTAGCGACGCTGAGCATCTTCCCATGTGCCTGTCAGCATCTCTGTGGGAAAAGTCTCTGCTTAGGTCCTCTGTCCGTTTGTTTAATTGGGTCTCCCATTGAGTAGGTTACCTTTGTACTTTGTTGATGGTTCCCCTCGCTGTGCAGAAGCAGCTTGGGCTGACGGAGTCCACTCCTTCGTCTCTGCTTTGTCGCCGTTGCCTCTTGAGCCAGATCCCAAAAAAGTATCCCAAGAGTGACGTCAGAAAGCTCGCTGCCCCTGTGGTCTCCTAGGAGCTTTATTGTGTCCGATTACTGTGTCCTTCCTGCTTCCGGCCACAGCGTCAACACTTCATGACCGACGTGCACACTTACTTCAAAACAGCAAAGCCTGCATGAGGAATGGTTGAAGACATCTCACCCACACGCTAACATTTTCTAGACGCACACCCAGTGTCCAGATAGGTTTTGATTTTTTTTTTAACTGTGATGGTAAAGAGAGAGTGCGCCCCTGTTCTGTGCCCAGCTAGGCCAAGGTCCCGGGCCGGGGACCAGGGAGATGAAGTTCACAGTCTGGAGGGGGAGCCTCAGTGCTAACCGGCTCCTTGGCAGCCTGGACACAGGCTTGCAGGACTCAGCCTGGGGGACCAGAGGGCCTCCTGCCAGTGGGGACTCCAGGCTGAGGAGCTCACCGGGCCGGCTCACCAGAGCCAACAGTCAACAAGCAGCTGGTCCCACAAGGGGACACTGGGTCCCGGGGTACCTGGTCTGCTCTGCAGGGTGTTAAAGAGTTGCTCTGGGCCATTGACGTGAGTGGTGTGGCCCGGGGCGCAGGACACGAGGTCCAGCGATACGGGAAGTGGCCCCAGGGTCTGAGCAAACGGACTGTAGACTCAGAGCACCGCAGAGCATAACTCACGTGCTCACGTTCTTCTGGAGGGAAGGCCCGTTTAGTAGCCTCTGGTGGTCTCCATCCACATGAAGGGCTTCCTGTGAGAGCCCCTCCCTGATGCTTCCCCCTGCCCCCGGCGGCCCTGCAGCTGCTCACATCTGTCAAGGTGACGGCAACATGGCCCGAACAATAGAAAACTCCAGCATCACAGCTCTGCCTTTGGGTCCCTCTTGTTACGCCATTCGTCCCCCCAATGACCGAGGCTGGGCGTGATGAGGACGCCCCTCCCGAAGACCTCCCCCAGAGCCAATGGGACACCGTCGTAGCAGAAGGAGCCCCGGGCACTGAGAGCTGCTTAGGTCAAACCTGGACCGAATGCAAGATGTGCCAATGACCCACGGAATAAACAACCCCTAGGAACCAAAAATCGTAATAAGAAAATTTCACTGACGCAACCCTCAGACATGGCGACGGAACGCTAACCTGGGCCTTGATGTCTTCCTCCCAGCACCCTGTCCCCACCCCCAGCCCTCGACACTGTCAGGGCTCGGCAGGCGGAGCCAGGCGCGAAGGGGTGGGCTCGAACGAGCAGCCAGCTGGGTGAGTCTGGGACGCAGGACGTCACACGTGCTCCCCTGGGGCCTGTGGCTCGTGACTGGACAAGTCGTCTGCACTGGAGACCAGCCTCCATTCAGGAAGAGAGGGGGCTGTGGTTCTAGCCTCTTGCACGTTCAAGTGCATAGGAGGGGCGGGAAGCCCAGGAGATGGGCTGGACCGTGGCCCTGCGCCGACTTCCTGCGGGAAGAGCTCAGTGCCCTGCGTGTGTCCTCGAAGCAGTGCCGTGCTGGGCGTGATACGACTCCTTGAGGCATGGGGCCCGCCACAGCCTGTGTCTGAGGCTTATTCCGATGGGTCCCATCTGGGGTCCCGCCCCCAGGTCCCCTCTCCTTCCATGCCCATCCCCATGTCCCATCCCTCCTCCCACCCCTGCGTGTCTGTGCGCCCCAGGACCCCACCTCTGCTCTGCTCCCAGAGCTGCCCAAGTGTTTCCCCTTCCATCCCCTTGTCGGGATCTTACTCCCCGCGGTGCCGTCGCCCCTCTAGTCTTGGTCCTGGGCCTTCGCACTCTGTTCCGCTCCTAAGATGGCATTTTTCAAACCGGGCGTGTCCCCCCTGGCCGAGCCAGGCCACGCGTCCGCGGGCCCTGGTGCTGGCTTCCCAGAGCCATCGGCCATCTGTGACGCTCCACGCAGACCAAGGGGCCGACAGCAGCGGAAGTTTACTGCCTCACTGTCACAGAGGCCGGACATCGTCCCAAACACCAGGAGGGCCCTCACTTTCCACTTACAAGACAGTGACGCTCTCTGAAAAGCATCAACCAGACGTCGTGACACCCGCCCCTCACCCCCATCAGCGGAGAGGACTGTGTAGGGAGAGGCAGACGCCCCTCGGGTGGCTCCCGCGTGACGCGATCGCAGCCACTAAACCCACCACAGCAGGGGCTCCCACACCACGTCTTCCTGAGCTGGGGGCTCCCTCTGAGTGGAGGGTCGTCATCCTGCTGAGCGAGGGGTCGAGTCGAGGCCAGCCAGGTGCAGACACCGCGGGGGCTCAGCCCGGCCTCAGCGGCTCTTCCTTCCGGAGCCTCTGTCCCGGGAGTTGCGGTGAGAAGAGTACATAAAGCTTGTGCTCGTCCATCAGGGACAGGGACCCTCAGGGCCTCTGGCCTCCTCTAGACACGTGGTGGTGGGGGCGGAGGCGTTTTACTCTCGCCCCCTCATGCCGCCGCCCTGCCTCGCCAGACGCCCTTCCCCCAGAAGTGTCGGTGTCCTGGGGCAGCAAGGACCTCACTCGCCGGCCACCAGAGGAAAGCCGAGCCCCGGCTGTGGGCACGGCTTCACCTCCTCTGTCCTCTTACCCTGGCACAGGCTGGGGGCCACCAGCCTCCCGGGTGACACGTAGCCAGTCCTGTGCCACAGCAGGGGCAGGACCCCTGTGTCACTTGCTCAGGAGCAAAATGGGATTTGGAAAAAATGGCTCCACAGGCCTCAGAAGGACACAACTTAGCCCTGCTCAGGTCACACACACTCGGGTGATTGGGGTGCCCCCCAGACATTGAAGGGCACTCTCACGTCGCCCACAGACTCGGAGTCAGTCGCTTTGCTGCTGGTGACAAGCCTGTCCCCACTGTGGCAAAGGCGATGGATGCGGTCCCCTGCACGGGCCGCCCGTCTCTCCCTGGCCCAGTTCTCCTGCAGCCGCGCTCCCTGGTGGTCGGGCCTGGCTGCGAGTTCATGCCTTCCTCAGGGGACCGGCCTGTCCCTCTAGGGAGGGGCTGCGGCTGTTGTTCAGTGGCACCCTCTGTTCGATGGCTGCTGCCACCGAGGTTGACCCCATTCAGGGAGCTGCCAGGGAGGTGGGGTTTGTGTCCCTGGCCCAAAATGGTCATGCCGCTGGTCCCCTCTCCTGCCCCAGTGGACAGACGGGGGTTCCAGGCACCGAGGCTCTTCTGACAAGGCGGCTGCAGGCTGTAGTTTGGATGCACCAGCTAGAATCCAACTTCAGGGCCGCGACGTGCTCAGTGCTCTGTTCTCAGATGACCTTGTCACACCAGCCGACGAGCGGGGGACAGGGCAGGCCCCCCCGACACAGCTGCGAAGCCGTCATTCTGTACGATCATTTCACAAGTTATTATGTTTAATATAATCAGGCTTTTCCTTGGGCAATAAAGGGAAAGTTAAATTGCTCACAAACTAATAAAGGTTTATCTTCTGAAGCATCAAATTCTGTTTACTCTGAAAACACACACCTCGTTTGCTGACCCACTGGGAGGAAAATTAGCGTTTGTTTTCCCTGATAAACCACAAAGCGGAGGGAATGTTGGTTGGCATCTCGTGGACGTACTTGGTGGAGGGTTTTCCTGTTCTGACCGAAGACTCCAGGGCATACTGTCCGCCAGGGACACACTCACTGGGAGCAGGGTGCGGGATGCCGGAGGCGTCCGCAATGCGTGGACACTGACTCCACCCACGGAAAACGAACTCCCTCTCAGGCCGCGCAGCCAGGTTCCCTTCCTGGGGACTGAGTAGGGACTGAGGTTGCATGCCCTCATTACTCCCCACGTCCGCCCCACGCCGCACAGTGGGAGGGCGCAGTGTGGTCTGTGGTGATGGGTAAGTGAGCTTCCCCGCCAGGGTTCCCCTCCCTCCCTGCCCTTTGGCTGTTTGTCGCCATGACGGACGCCTGCAATGGCCCTGAAAGCTAACCCACGTCGGGTTTTTGGTGCACGCCAGAATGACTCAGCGTTTTTCCTGTCCCTGGTTGTCAGGTACGGAGACATGAGGAGGCAGATCGGCTTTGAAATCAGAGACATGTGGTACAACCTCGGTGAGTAGCTGCAATCTCTGGCCATCGTGGGGACTTCGGGACTCTGCGGCTGTGATGACCTGACCCTGTGTGTCGGTGTGGGGCTTGCAACAATTGTAATCACTTCTGTTCTTGGAGAAAATGTGGTCTTCTTTGCCGTAATTGTTTCCAGTAAGAGGAAGGAGACCGAGCAAAAGGAAGAAGACCCATTAGGTAGGACAAATGGAAGAAGCGGCGGAGCACCACCGTCTGGTGACAGGCGGGCACAGCTTGGCCGTGGAGCTCTGGCTCTGGGGCATGGCTCATGTGCCCCCATGTGTCAGGCCGTGGGGTTCACTCCCCCCGCTGTGTGAACCTTCACCACTTCCACGGACGCTAATTTCCAAAGGGTCTGACCACCTACTCAGAGCCCGACCCTGGGCTCAGGGACAGCACCACCAGGTGGTGGCCACGCACCGTGCTCATGCAGTTGTAGCGACAAGTGTGTGTAAGGTAGGAAATTAACGTAGGTGGTCACCACCGTCCGCTCCCCTCTTAGCGCCACTCTGGCTGTACCGGGCAAGCGCAGGGCATGGTGTTCTCATTTTCTTTGGTCTCACAGCTTTTTCTCGTTTCCCTTTGGTTTCTTCTTTGACCCATTGATGGTTCAAGGGTATGTTTCTAATTTCCATTGTTTGTGAATTTTCTAAGTGTTCATCTGTTACTGATGTCTAGTTTTAATTCAGGATAAAAAGGAAAGAGATACTGGGTGTGATTTTAATCTCTTTAAATTGGTGAAGACTTGTTTTATAACTTAATATTTGATCTTTTCTGGAGAATGTTCCTCACGTACTTGAGAAAAAAGAATGTGTCTTCTGCTACTGGTGGTGGAACATTCTGTTTTACGTGTGTTCGGTCCCTTGTGTCTATATTGTCGCCTTTACTAGTGAAGAAAGATCTCAGAAACGACCTAACTTTACACTTCAAGCAACCAAGAAGAACAAACTAAGCTTAAAGTTAGCAGAAGGAAAGAAATAATAAAGATTACAGCTGAAACAAATAAAATAGAAATATAGAAAAAATTTTTAAAACTCAGAGTTGGTTTTTTGAAAAGATGAATAAAATTGACAAACCTTCAGTTAATTTGTTTTAAAAAAGGAGAAAAGACTGAAATAAAATCGGAACTGAAAAGAGAGATTACAACTAATACCATAAAAATAAAAACGTACCTGATAAGAAACAACTATGAACAATATCATGTCAATAAATTTGGTAAACCTAGAAGAAATGGATAAACTCCTAGAAACATACAACCTGCCAGGACTGGATCGTGCAGAATTAGACGATCGGAACAGACTATGAGTAAGGAGACTGAATCAGCTTTCAAAAGCTTCCCAACAGAAAGCCAAGACCTGATGGCTTCACTGCTGAGTTCAACCCAACATTTAAAGAAGAATTAATTAACCCTAATCCTTCTCAAACTCTCCCAAAGAAATTGAAGAGGTGAGGACACTCCCAGACTCATTTTATGAGGCCAGCATTACCCTCATACCAAAGCCAGTCAGAAACACTATGAGAAAATAAAATTATAGGTCACTGTCTCTGACGAACACAGATGCAAAGTTCCTCAACAAAATACTAGCAGACCGAACTCAACAGCCCAGGAAAAGGATCATGCTGTGTGGTCAACCGGAAGTCATCCCTGGGATGCAAGGGTAGCTCAACATACTCAAATTAATAAAAGTAATACCCTGCCTCAACAGAGTGAGGGATAAAAATCATGACTTTCAATAGAAGCAGATAAAGCATTTGACAAAATTCAACATCCTTTCATGATCAAGAATTCTCAACAAAGGAGGTGTAGAAGGATTTTACCTTCACATAATAAAGGCCATAGGACAAGTTCATGATAATATCATACTCAGTGTTCAAAGGCCTTTTCTTTAAGATCGGGAACAAGACAAGGATGCCCACTCTCACCACTCCTTATTCAACGTAGTGCTAGAAGTTTGAGCCAGAGAAATAAGACAAGAAAAACAAATGAAGACATCCACACCAGAAAGGAAGAAATAAAAATATCTCTAGCTGCAGGTGACATGGTCGTCTATATTTAGAGTGGCCATCAACATATCAAAATGTGTCCATGTCACTTGATTAACAGCTGTTGCCGCAACTCAGCTCATTCTGGCTCCCCAGGCCCACCCCTCCCTCTCTGGGGCCCCTCCACCGAAGGCTTACTGACTGACTCGGAGGGGACCTCCAGAGCTCTGCTGGACCCTCAGACCTGATGGGTGGGGCCACCTGCCTTTTCATTTTTTTTTAAAAATTATTTTCAAGGTCATCTCTGGAGTCCCTGAGCTGGATCCCCTCTTTGAAACTGCTTCCATTTCCTCTCATCCATGTCCATGACAGCGAGGAAGAAAGGGGAGAGGAGCCCAGGGCCATCTGAGCTGCACGGTGGTGACACCTCCCAGCCTCGTGAAGGCTGGGCCTTCCAGGGATGCACCCTCTGGTGTCAACCGCATCTTCGAAGCCCTTTGGGAGTGGTTGGTCCTCTGGACCTTATGTATCCAGATAGTCAGAGTTGTTATCTGTCATTGTGCCTCAAATGGGCAGAGTCAAGTGACTAAGACTTTTGACTCGCTATGTCAAGGAATCGGTGGAGGGAGCAGACACCCCGTCACCATTCTGTCGGTTGCTAATGTGAATACTGTGGTTCACGCACAAGACGTGTTTTGCAGCCTTCCAGCTGGGACCATCGACTCTGGCCTCAGAAGCAGCCAAGGGGTCAAGTGTAAACTATGACCGAGGTCACTGAACCAGGGCAGGGACTTGGTAACAGCAGGGAATGGCAACCGTCCAGCAACCTGACCAGGTTTCCAGCTTGTAAAAGAATTCAGTTGTTTTTGGATCTGCCCACAGCAGCCCCCAGCATGGCCAGGAATAGCTGCTTGGGTTGCCTCAGGCAGCCTGGCTCTGCCACTGCGAATCTCAGACCTTACGTCTGCCGAGAGTGTCATTGTGGAGGCCACCACCTAGAAGAAACCTGTGACAGCACATCAGTCCCCCAAGGTGGGCACGTCCTGTTTTCTACACAGCTTTTTTTTTTTTTAACAGGCACAGTTTTGGAAAGGCATTGACAAGGTGAGCTAACCAGCTCTGCCTAGAAAATAAAAATAGAAGTCAGATACACGTACCGTCTTACCGATCACCACCTGTGGTACGGTCAGGCCTGGAGCTCAAGGTCCACGAGACCGTGTCTTCCTGGGACCGTCCAGTGACATGTGGGTGCTGTCTCAGCCGCCCCTCTGCAGCCCCACAGCCGGGGTCTGGCGCTGGTTTGCTCGCTGCGAGGCAGGTGCCCCACAGGACAGAGCAGCGTGATTCTCTTTGCTCCTGACCTGTCAGATACGGAGTCAGAAAGGGAAAATCAAAGGCAGCCTCTCCAAAAACGAGCAGCTGGGGCGATGCCTACTGCCGGCTCTTGTCCTTAATCAAGCTCAGCCCCCAGGGGAGCGCTGCCCTGTGGCTTCAGCTGCCTGGGTTTACGTTTTGTTTACTACGAGCAACACACTGCCCCTGTGGCCACGGTTGGGCCGGGACAAACGTGCTCCCAGCAAGGCCCTTCTTCATTCGGCCAGTTCTGCCAGCGACATTTTTCAGGCAGGATTCCCTCCGGGGGTGTTTCTGGGGACGGGACAAACTGCGGGCTTTTCATTAAGCCCCCCGTACAACGAGGCCTAACCAGTTGGACTGGGCAATGGCAACTTTGCTCTGAGTGCCCTGGAATCAGACTGGGTTTAACGTCGGGGTATCTGGACACAACTGGGAGCAGGTCGCCCACCCCCCACCCAGCCCTGGGAGGCTGCTCGGTCCCCACGGGAGGCCATACGCAGCCCCACAGTCTGTGACAGGAGCCAGGTCTCTAGGCCAGGATTAAAGAATTTGGGGGTGGTGACCGGCAGACCGCCACTGTGATGGAAGGTGAATTGTCCTCATTGTGACCTGATAATCAGCTTGTTCTTCCCTTGTCTCCACGAGAAAGGAAAATGCACCTTTTTTCCTTGAAGTCCCCATTGCCAGTGCCACCTGGATCCTCACTGATGTCAAACCTGAGGTCACTGTTAAATTTGAGCCGGATGTGCCCCAGGTGAAGTCCACGATCAAAGGTCCAAAAGAACCCAAAAAGATGAGACCGCTGGGGGACATCACCTCACCCTTGCTCACCTTGAAGACCCTGCCTCCTAGAAGGTGTCCCCCCTGCCAGTGTCTCCTGCGTTCCCCACAAGGGTTGTGGTTGAAGATGAGGCGCCCGGCTCAGTGACTTGTTTTTCCTTCCCTGCATCAACCACCACTTGTTGCCACCTCTGCATCCCCTCCCCCGCTGGGAGCTGCAGGAGCCACCTGTCCTGCAGAGCTCTCTCTGTGACCCTCAGGTTGTAGCTGATGGGCCACTCACTGTCACCGTCGACTGTTTCCTGAAACAGTGGCTCTGACATTTCCAGACATAATATAAGAGGGGTGTCGCCGACAAGGCCGGAGATGATGGCGCTCTTAAGTGACCGCTGTGCAGCTGTGACAGGCCTCCCAGCACATGGGGCGCCTGGGCAAGTGACGAGAGTCCCATCCGTGCGGCCTTAGTCCAAACAGTGATTAGTTAGTAAGATGAATATGAAGTCTTAATGATAGTCAGATTCCTGTGGAAGGTTTCCCTCTGTGAATGGGTTTCATTCCTCACAGTACAAGTGTTAGGCATGTGTTAGTTTAGGCTGATGTGAGGACTGTGTGTCTTGTTTGGTGCAGTTATTTATAAAAGCCCAAGTTTGTTTAATGGTTCTCACAGAAGTCTGTATTCGCTGAGTTATAAAGAAAACGGAGTTCTTTAGACTACCCGTTGTACTTCCTGAGTGTCTAAAAATATTGTTCAGGTTGATTAACTCTGGGTAAATTGCTGGTGTTAATAACGAAATGTCACAGATAATTCACTCAAGCATTTAATTCTTGCACATTGTTCCAGCACATGTTGGAAAGGAAATAAAATAAATGATAATGGTGTGGAGTGAAAACAAGTTAAGATATTTGACACGAAAGACAAGAGGTGGGGATCTGGAAGGCTATTTTCTCCCGAAGACCCTCCTCGGAGGTGGATCACTTCCCCCAAGGCCAAGTCCACTCCCCTTTTTTCAGAAACGGGTTTTCAGGGCGCTGAAGTGGGGCGCAGTGGCTTCCTCCCGGCCTTTCCTCCGACATCGTCCGGCTCATTCCAAGTTCCCGGTCAGCCCACCCACGTCACTGCCAGTGCTCAGGGCAGCATCTCACCGAAGGGTACAGGGCCGCCGCGGGAGTGAGCACACGGGGGCAGGACCCCCCTCTTGGCGGAGTGGGCGACGACCACAGCGCCAGCCCAGCCCGGCCGTCTCTGCGCAGGAGGACTTTCCTATGGACAGCGCGTCCACAGCCTGTGAGCGGAAGGCGGGGCTTGGGAAGATGTGACTCCAAGGTCTCCAACAAAAGTAATTGAAATAGGAAAGAAGAAGGGTTTGGTGCCCGCACAGAGGAAATGTCTACTTCCTGGGGAACTCGGTTTGGAATTGTGACACCCGGCAGTGCTGGATGAAATGGCAGGTCTCTGTCCCCCATGGCTGGCTCCCTCTTACGGCAGACAGACAAGGGGGCTGGTGGACAGTCGGCACCATTTCCGTTACAGGGAGATGGAGAGTCCCGCCCTGCCCGGGAGACCCAGGACAGGCAGGCGGGGGATGAGGGCCAGGGCTGACGCTTCCGAGCCACGCCCACGGTGTCCCCATCTGCCTCTCCATCGCCGCTGACCAGCGTGCCGGCCTGGGCCATGGCCCATGTCCTGCACTGGGGGGGGGGGGCGGGAGAAGTACCCACACTCCGGGGGGGTGCTGACAACAGGAGACCATGCTGTGGGGCGGCAGGGCCGTGGGGACATTCAGTGCCAGCTGCTCCGTTTTGCAAAAAAATAAGTAAAGTTGATTGGCATCAGATCTGTTAAAAAAAAGAGGCGTGGTCGCCTTCTCCCAAGGTGTTCATGGGAATTCAATGAGACATTCTCTGCTCGGCTCGTCTGAAGTGCTTAGTAAATGTCAGCTAATGTTATGATCATTCTTATTCATAAAGGCAAGAGCATGTGTTTAACTAAACAACTTTGTAGAAACCTGTTGTGAATTCCTTAGTCGTGTCTGGATAAGGTGGGTGAGTTACGATGCATGAAGTAGTTACTTAAATACGCATTTGCCGATCAAACAGCAGCAGCCAAAGAAGGCGGAGTCGTGTCTGTTTTCACGGCCCCCGTTCTGGGGCCAGTGCTTTGCTGTCTGAGATTGGGGTCATTACGAATGTTCTAGAAAATGGAAACTTCCTCCTTATACAATGCTGGAGCGGGAGAGGGTCCAAGAGACCATCCACCCTAACTCCCCCACTCTGTCGACTCTATTCACTGTCCCAGCCTCTCTCTGTCCAGGGCGGGTCCCCTTCACTGTCCTTGGTCTGCGTGATCAAACCATGAGACGGTGTTTACCTTCTGTCTGTACCCAAGAAGTCATGATGGCGGACGTGATCCTAGATGGACGTTGTAGTGGCTTCTCTCCTGACAGCGAGAGCACCGTCCACGTCGTTGACGAAGGCTGGGCACTGGGCACGTCCGAGATGCCCGGTCCCACACCCCGGCAATATGCATCACAGCCATCTGTGTTGTTTTGTCCACAGAAGCCTGTTCCAGAATCCTCCTTTAAAAATTTTCTGAATAATGCATTTCTTTATTCAAGGTCAGCACAAGATAAAGTTCATTCCGGAGATGGTCGGCCCGATGTTGGAAATGACACTGATTCCCGAGACAGAACTGCGCAAGGCCACCATCCCCATCTTCTTCGACATGATGCAGTGTGAATTCCACTCCACCCGGAGCTTCCAGATGGTAAGGACCAGAGCTGGGGGCACGGGGTGACAAGCCTAAGGTCCTTGAAAAAGACTTAGAGGCGGTTCTGGGGTAAACGGTGCTGGGTGGACGTGGAGAAGGCAATACCCCCACAGCTCAGAGGGCAGGATCCCAGGCCCGCCGTGCAGGGAGCCTGCCCTCTTCTGCTCTCATCTCTGGGAAGACTTGTTCTCAGTGTTTGTTTTCACTTACTTTTGCCTGCGTTTACTCACATGCGGAGTCCTGGGTGGCCGGGTCTCTTTCTGGCCCTGCTCGGTGTGTGCACTCAACAGAGCTTTCGGCCCGATGTTGCCGGGTTCTCTCAGACTGGCCGCTTCTTGCCAGCTTATGTTGCCATAAACTCTTCCAGCTTGGCTTTGTTCTCCTCAACGTCCGCCTCGACCTTCCGCCTCTGCGAGGGAACCATGAGAGTTGCTCAGAGGAGGTGTGTAGGGGCTCGAACAGGCCATACCCACAGGAAGAATGGGCCGGAGTGATCTGTGCCCGTGGAAATCAGCAAGGTGTTTAGTGCTCACGAGTGGGCGTGCACCCACACACGCGTGTGCTCAGAGGCGCAGAGGCGTTCTTCCCGGTGGGCCGGGGGTCCGGCCATGGCGCTCTGCAGGAGCCAAGGCCAGGGTCCGAAAGACAGGGCACCCGCTGCGTCCAAAGCAGCCTTTGTTTAAACAGGACCATAATTCAAGGGAATGAATGGTTATTTCACATAAACGTCTGAGAAATTTTGAGGAAATTCCTATGTTGAAAGGAAAACAGAACCGTATCAATTGAGGGGTGTGACTTCAGTGGACCTGACGCTCAGGGCAGGTTTCCCTTCATCACCGTGTCCCTGCCAGTGGAAGGGAGCTTGGTGCACTCGGTAGTGTTCGCTGGCCCCTCCTCGTTGCTGCCCGAAGGTGTTCATCCGGTAGCCACGAAGGACAGTTTTGCTATTTCCTGGAACACAAGTCCAAGGTGTGAAGCTAGAACTTCCACTCTGTGAGTTGGAGTTGAGTTAGACGCAGAAGTTGGGTGGACTGTGATTCCCGGCCCAGCTCGGGACTGACTGGGTTTTAAACAAGTTGCTGACACATCTTTAAGTCTCTGATTCAAATCTCTGAAATGGGTATAAAACCGAATGCACTCAAAAGGGAGTTGTGGGAAGTAAAAAAGATCAAACCCATAAAGCCTGCCTTCCTAAATTCCTTCCTCCCTTCCTTCCTCACTCTCTTCCCATTGGTGAGGAAGATTTCCTTACGCTTATTTATTTGTCCAAGTAAAGCGTCTATTGTAAAAGAACAGCTGTGTTTGTAGCTCTGGTCCACTATCTGCCTTTGTACACATGTAATTGTAACATAAACATTGTCCAAATTTTCTCGTTCTTTCTGTTTGACAGTATATCGCAGACAGTTTCCTTGATTACAATGTAGTAACTAACCATGGTTTTAATGCTGGCACAACAATTCATAAAACTCCTGGCTAATCTTCTCTTACTCATCCCCGCGGTTGGGCATTTAGACTGTTTGCCGATGTTCACTACTGTGAATAAATGTGCAGCAAACATACGCATGTATAGAGCTTGGCTTTCTGTTAGCATTTTCCCGGTGTCCGTTCTAAAAAAGGGAGTTGCTGGTTCGAAATATATTTGTAACTTGTGACATTCCATCCAGTCCCCAAACATCGTTGCCGGAACGTGTGGCCCGTCGGCACTGCCCTGGCACCAGGTCACGGTCCGGTCTCACTGCCAGCTTCCCCAGAATGAGAACTGGGATTTCAAGTGCTTTTTCCTGGCATCTGACTTCTTGAATTTCATATAAATCAAGCTGCAAGGAAGAACCTTAGGGGAAAAAATGCTATGAAATGAAAGAATCAGGAAAAGACGGGGGAAATTGTGTGTTTGTGTGTGTGTGTGGAGATAAATAAATGTTACTAGCCCCGGAAATGGAGAGGGAAGGCCCTCAGAAGGCCATGTCATCTGTCATTCATCTGAGCAGTCTCTGGGTCAAAATCAGGTCACGGGCAGTTGCAATGGAGCCTGGAGGGACAGTATGGTTTCCGACCTCTTTCCTATCCTGTTTCACTGGGGCTTTCAAACGCCTGACAACCGACTTCTGCAAAAATGCTTCATTGTCTCCCATTCACAGGGTCTCGGGTTTGTCCATAAGTGACACAGGGCTGATGACAGTCCCATCATTTCACCCCCTCTCTGCACTCTCTCTCCACGGCGGTGTGCGGGAACAGAAGCACTCATGTGACATCACAGACCCACACGACCCCCGTGTCGGGCCTCAGCGGCAGCTCCTCAAGAGCCTCGGGCAATAACCTCTGGCCCTTTGTCTGTCCGTCATCTGCTTGTACCTTTGCAGACAAGGGCGGGGCACACCAAAGGCTTTTAAAATAAAGGCAGGAGAACTGAACTGGATGAAAGTTCTCTCTGCGGTGTTGGTCTGTCCCCGTGAACTGGGGGAAGATCAGTTTCCTTTCTGTTGGGGGTTCCTCTATTTACGTTTGCTCGCGGCCCGTCTCAGCCTCCTGTGTGGAGTGTCACGTGGCCGTCCTTCCAGACCCAGGGCTTCCCATCGTCCCATTTCTGTCATCTCTATGCCATTTGTTTTGTGGGTACAGGTGACACAGCCTGGTCTCTGCGCTCTTGGCCTCCAGGGCAGGTGGCAGTGACTTGTAAATTCCCCCATCTCTTCCCCAGCATCCTCTGCACCTCTCAGTTCCTGGCTCAGGTCTCCAGACTGGCTGTATCTTTTCTAACTGCTTTCTGCCCTCGGTGTAACTCTTGTCCTTTATCAGCTGATCTTCTGGAGACATGGGGCCCACCCTCCATTCCTGGCAGGGGCCTCGGTGAATATGCAGTGGAGGGCAGGTCCCTCCTGGGTCCCAGGCTGGCTATCGGCCACCAATCGGTTGTCTCAGCTTATTAGTCACATGGGCAAGGGCTACACGGGCCTCACTTTTATACCAGACATGCAGGCCTGTGGTTGGGGGGGGAGACGTTAGGTTTTTCGATTTTATGGACCTCAGGGCTTTGAGCACAGGCCGTGCCTCTCGGGTTTCAGGGTGGCTCTGTCTTTCAGAGTCAGGCTGCGGATAGGCCGCGTTGGTGAAATACGCGTTGTCGCTTGTGGTTGGTGTGGGGAGGGGACCCACAGGTCCAGAAGAGCCTGCCATTTTACTCAAGATTAAACTGAGTCAAACCGTTATTGGAATTTCAAAGGCACGTCCCAGCACTTGGCTGCCCTGGAGTCCCCAGAGAGGCCGCAGCCCCCGCCCCTACGCCCCCCCCCCCCGGGTGCTTCCTTCCAGGGCTCTGACCCGGGCATCTCCCCGGGAGTGTGCGGCTGGTCTCCACGGTTGCGAGAAAGAGCAGGAATCTTCCTTCAGAATAACTGCCCTTGGCCTTGGCCTTGCATCATTCACATAGACCTGCTGAGCTGTGTAGCCCCACCCCGCCCCGCCCCAAAACCCACCTCTCCCTGCTCATCGAGGGCCCCAAATGAGTAATTCTCTGAGTCTCAGCCTCAGTGGGTTTTCCTTCATAAAAAAAAACACATACTTTTCATTCCCTCCTGGCACCTTTTTAACGAATTCCATTTGTTATGTCTTTGGCAAGTACAGAACTCACAGCTGAGAGTGGCCGCGCACGGCCACGTGGTCTGGGGGCCTTTGATGAAAAGGGAGTGGTCAGGGCCCACAGCACAGTGACAGCTTCGGCCGTGGAGCTGCCCCGCCATCCGTGCCGGGGTCAGTGGCAAGCCTGCAGGAATCCCCGTGAGCGAGGCAGTCTGGGAGCGGCGGCGGCTGGGGCCTTTGATGTCTCCGCCCTCCCGTCGGCGGAGTGATCTCTGCCCACCGCCTTCCACAAAGAACCCGCGGCCGGGTTGGTGCGGGAAGCTTTGGCTGCTCCATGGGAAAGCCAGTGTTGCGGCGGCGTGAATGCGAATAAGTCGGGGGGCAGTTTTATCTTGATTATTCTCCAGCTCCTTGGGATTTTCCTGGTTAACTCTGATTTCCATTTCAAAGTCATACTTGAGTCTATTTTTTGGATGCTTGCGGGGGAAATACAGACAAGAATTAGGCTTTTATTTCATCAAATCAGGATCCAGAGTGAGTCCAGGAATCATGGAAACTAAGCCCCTTGACTCCAAGAGTTTGAATGACGTCGAGTTCTGTTCTTACAAGCCCTTCAGCAAAGAGATGGCCAAGCTCCCACCATCTCCTTCAACCACGTGAAGCAGGCCGTACTCTGGGGGCATGTTCCTGGGGTTCACTGGCCCAGTGCGTGACCCACAGGCCCTCCTCCATCTGGGCCATGCCCCTGTCGCGGGTGTTGCTTTGAGTCTGGCGGGTTGCTCAGGTCCCGAATCTCGGAGCCACTAGGCTCCTGACTCTTGCACAAAAGCTTCAAGGTCAGCGAGCCGCCTGCTTGTTGGACATAGAAGGATGTGGGGATTTCAGAATGTGGGATGTGGAGCGCCAAAGATTAATTAAGTGTGTAATTAAGTTTATAGAGCCGTTAAGCAGGAGGAACGCAGTGTACATAAAAATGGAAGTGTGTCTGCGTGGAGTGCTGCATCTCTGGGAACCAGATACTTTCGGCTGTTAGCCGGAGCCCAGGTTGTCGTGGGCGGGGCCGCCGCCTCCTAGCCACACCCACTCCTTCCTCTGGGCCCCGTTTTCCATGCAGCTGCAGCTCAGTGACTTTCTCCCACCACCCCTGCTGTGGCTGCCAAAGCCAAGGGCCCTGGTCGCTCCTTCAATGGGGCAGGCTCAGTTCCCCCTGCAGGTGCAGAAGCAAAGGCGACCGACCCCTTGAGGCTGTCCGCCGCCAGCGGGTGGTCTACCACCACGGTCCCGCATCCGGAGCCTGCGAGCCGTTCTGGAAAACAGGAGAAAGCGGGCCACTGTTTGCTCAGCTTCCTCCATCACTAGCCTGTCCTCGCAGCACGTCCCTGGACATCAGCTTTCTCCCCTCTCTGGACGGGCTCCGAACACCGTGTCAGTGTGCTGTCTGCTGACTGCTGGAACCTTCCCTCCCGGGGTAGTTTCCCAGCCCGCTCCCCACGTCCCCGTGGACGTCTGTGAAACGCATGCCCGGTTTCAGACATTCGTAAAGGCACACACACAGCTCACCCAGCTCAGACCTCCACAGTCAGTGTGCTGAGCCTAACCCACAACAAAAACATCCATTCCAACCAAAACGGTGTTGGCTTCTGGGTTACCCACTGCTCAGGCCCTCCCCCCCCACCTCTTCCCTTGGAGCCAGGCTCACAGCAGCAAGGAGTGCCAGAGCCGGGGTTCCCCTCTACCCTCATGGGGTTTACAACACATCAGTGCCCCTGGGGCACAGACCACAGCCCCTCCACACGGCCGTCTGTTCAGACGGGGCCTCTCCTGTTCCGTGTTCTGGGAGGGCCACTGGTGTCGGATGCACAGAGAAGCTCTGCTCAGTGTTTCACGTTGGATGCCCTGTGGACATTTTTGCAGTGATGTCGGTCACTCAGAAAAGAGGGGAAAATACTGTATAATGATTTCACTTATCACATGAGTGAGCTTCTGTCACCTTCAGAGCAATAAAGTAAATTTGTTCTAATTTCATCCTAACCACAGAGAACCCTGCTGCAAATTACCAAACAGCAGGCATTTACAGGGATAATAAATGCGATTTTTATCAAACCAGCCCTGCTCTAGCAACAAACGTGCTTTCTCCAATTTGTTTAGGCAGCATCATTTCATTCTGATTCTGATAACAGTTCACAGCACACTGTTCTAGCACATGGTTTCTAGCACATTCTGTAAAAATTCACAAAGACCCTGGAATTAGAAGCTGCAGATCTGTGTGTCGAATCCTGGCTGGTAAACAGAACGAGGTTGCCAGGTGTCTATGCAAATTACTGAGTTTAGACTAGAGGTTAGTAAAATTAGAATCAGCTGTGTTCTTCTGATTTACTTATCATTCATTCACTCTTTTTAGAAAACACTAAATTCATCAGTCAAATTTGAGAAGCAGCATGCTTAATGAGCTGGAGCTTCCTTATTGCCTTTATTTGTGACAGCCAGGTTTACGTGAAAGCAGAGGAAACACGCCATTCCCAGTCGGTGGACTCCAAGTTCAAGAGTCTTCTGACGAACTAGGATGAGCAATTTGGAATGCTTATGTGCATTTGCATGTGTTAGGGTCGGGTATGTTTTTCTGCACCCTCTGCGCCTACCTCACGGGCTGCTCATTCTGCCTGTGGGATTGAATCACGCATGTTCATTAAATTTAGTGTTATTTTGAACCCGGTTATTTGTTCAGAAGGATCAGCCCTCGCCGCACTCTGAATCTTTGACGTCCCCATCATGGGACTAGTTTGGGAGACGGAGCTGCCAGAGAACCCCGACGCTGAGCTAGTGGTACCCAGGCATCTCCCTTGCGCCGGATCCTGCCCTTCAAAAAGAGCTGCCTTTTGAAGAGCTCTTCCCAGTAAAGAGCAGAGTGATAGCGAGTTAGTGTCAAAAGGTTGTTGCTTTACAATAAAAGTCACTATCCTGAGACTGCAGCTCGGGGGAAAAAAGCAGGTCATCCTTTCTTCTTCAATAATACTGTCTCTTCGTCTATGTTCCTGAAACCTCTGCACTTCTCGGGCTAAACAGAATCAGAAAGAGGGTGCGTGTCTGCAGGAGGAGATGACAGAGAGGATCAAGAGGAGGATTGGGGGGGTTCACCAAGACCCAGGTTTTTGTGAGGCCTCTGAGTCCTTGATGTCCAGCCAGAATCAGTGCTTCTCGCCGGGCCTGTCTGCAGTTCCCTTTCATCTGCGACACAATCCAACGGGGCAGAAGCATGTGGCACGGTCAAGGGCAGGGAGGTCTGCGCCTGCCTTCAGGCTCCTCCCCGGGCCTCCTCAGACCCGCTTAGCCCTGTTTCACAGAGGCCACCGTCAGCTGCCACAGACGCAGCTGTCCCGAGTCCCCAGGATGGTAGACGGCACCTGAAGTACCTGTGACAGGCACTTGGATGCGTGTGGCCACCGCTGGGCCTCCGTGGCCGAGAGCACGTGTGTCTCCGCAGCCTGCTGCCCACACCTTCACTGTCCCACCTTCGCTCCCCTGACTGCGTGAGCACCAGTTCTAGCCAGTAATTGATGTGCACATCACACACGCACCCCACCCTCATCATCGCCACCAGGCGTAGTTCTCGGTGTCGGGGACACTGCAGGGACCAAGAGAGAAGGAAATTCTCCCTCTCCCACAGCCTGAGTTCTCACAGGAGCCTGGTCACAGTGGCAAGGACTCGGAGTTATTGCCTGGGAGTAAAGGTGGTGTCTGTACGTTCGAGGGCCCCAGCGCCCCCGGCGTCATGCCGTGCATGGCAGACTTGCTTCCTGAGTCCTGCGCTCCTCCTGCCTGCCGTCTGTCGGGTCAGCTCTGTGGGAACTAAGCCTCCTACAGCCCCTGGGGACCCCCTACAACGTGGCAGTCACTAGGCTAGAATCCCGGGACTGAAGTAGCTCTGAATGTTGCCGGGGACAGGAGACCGGATAGTGAGGACGGGACACATGTGTCCTTATCAAAGAGCTCTTTCTAGCCCGCTCAGCCACAGCGTTCACGGTGCCTTTGAAAACCTTTTGCAGATTTGCACCAGAGTTTGGATCTTTCCCAACAGCTCAGGTCTGAGAGACTATCGGTTCTGATGGCTCTGGCGCACCATGATGCTCTGGAAGCCCTTCACCTGGAGACTCTGGGAAGCGTCTGCTGGGGGGTCTTCTGGCCAACGCCTCTCGTTTCCTGTGCTCTTTCAACCGGAGGGAGAAGCTTCCCAGGACTGTGTCTCGGACGGCAGTGAACTGGCCCCTGGATCTCCTCTGAATGCCGGGGAGCTGTTTCAGACGCGGCACTTCCGTGGAGATGATGTTTGAGACACATTTTTATGTAGCACCTTAATTTCTCTGTCCCCTCACCCCCCCCTCCGTTTCCGTGTCTATCTTTCTGGCTCCCATTCCTGCTATCAGAATCCACGTGTTTAGACTCCATCAACCAGAGAAGGAAATGGAAGATTTCCCCGGTGACAGGGGGCCACCTGCAGTCTCCAGGGCCCCAGGGACAGTGCCTCTGAAATGAAATCAGGCTTCAAAGGCGTAGGGGAGCTCTCTGGTGGTGGTCCCTTGCCCATGGATGTGCTGTTCACATGCCCGTCATAAAGTGAAATGATTACTTACGCTTCCTCTGTTTAATTACAGTTCGAAAATGAGATCATCACCAAGCTGGATCACGAAGTGGAGGGGGGCCGAGGAGACGAACAGTACAAAGTGTTATTTGATAAAATGTAAGTGTTGGTTAGAGGTGGGTGGGGCTCCCGTCAGAGTGGGGACAGAGGGGCTGGAACCGGACCGCAGAGAACTTGGGAGCCCAGGGAGAAGGGGAACACGTCAGTGACCCGCCGGCCGTGTGACCTTTTGCAGCCTTCTGGAGCACTGCCGCAAGCACAAGTACCTCGCCAAAAGCGGGGAGACGTTCGTGAGGCTGGTCGTGCGCCTCATGGAGAGGCTGCTGGACTACAGGACCATCATGCACGACGAGAACAAGGAGAACCGCATGAGCTGCACCGTCAACGTGCTGGTGAGCGGCAGCCACTCCGTCTCGGGCTTCTCTGAGAGCTCCGTTGCAGGGCCAGTGTCCATCTGAACTGATGAGGTCCAGCGGGCAATTCTGCCTCCCTGGACCCCGGCGAGCCTCCCTGATGGTGACGCGCCGACCTAATCTCAGGCACCATTCCCGAGTGCTGACGTCGGGCCGGGGGCTGCATTGCCCACGGAAGGTGGTCTCGCACCTCAGGCCGTGTCTGGTGGCACCTTTTTGTCGCTTCATCAAAGACAAATATTTGAAAGGTTCACAGAGCTATCCCCACGAAGGAATGTAACCTTCATAGAAATGGTTGCGCTCACCCAGAGAATAGTGCAGGACACGTGGAGACCCTGGCGTGGGTGCCCTGCCAGCCCCGCCTTGCTCTGCCCGTGCTTGGACACACGGGTTTCTTGAGTGGCAGCCCATTTTCGGGCCGTGTTTCCGGGGTCTGTGGTCCAGCGCAGAGCTGTCCCAGCGACGTGTCTGTGATGATGGGTGTGCCCGGTGTCTGCTCTGTTGCCACAGCAACCCGAGCGCCAGCTCCCAAAGCTGAGCGAGTACCACCGAGTCCGGGACTTTCTAACTTCATCTAACTTTGGTGGCATTTACTGAGCAGTTGGACCCACGTGGCTAGTGGGCAGTGTGCTCAGCAACGTGAGTGGAGAGCACTGTGCTGCCTTCTCGTGGCTCTGGGTGAGGCTGAGCCCAGTGCACTTGAAATTGTGTGACCGTCCTGATGCCCACATCTGGGATTTTTTTTTTATTTCATTTTTTTCACTTCTAACGAGATTAGAATGGGTAAGATGTCAGATCTTTGGAGGGGACCTTGTTTTAATTGCAGGCAGGTGACAGAAATAGATTCTAGCCATCACAGCATTTAAAGTGTAGGAAATGTAATCGTGGGAATCGCCCCTCCCCCCGGAAGTGGAGGAGTGGGCACGTTGGTTTTGCCTCACTTGTGACTTGCTGGTTTCGGTCCCAACAGCTGGGCCCATTGGCCGGGGTGGCCGCCAGGGGAAGAACTGTGAATTGCTCACGTGCATGTCCCACTTTTTGTAGAACAGGTTTCTGAAATGTGTTGTGGTTTGATTTTTCAGAATTTCTACAAGGAAATCGAAAGAGAAGAAATGTACATCAGGTAGGTGGGCACCGTGCTCATCTGCACGTTCTGCATGTCGTCGCGGTGGCCGCGTGTGTGTCAGGCCAGTGCTAAGCAGCGGTTTCGAACCCCGGGGGCTTGTGTCATGGGAACTGGTGGAGCCCAGGGGCTGAGTTTGGTGTGGCTCCGGGGTGTGTCCGGAGCCCAGGCCGATGCGGAGATTTGGGGGTCTCGCTTAGCCAGCTCGGAAGCAAAGACATAAACGATTCTTTCACTCCCTGACTCGTGTGGCCCTTTGGACAAAAGGCAGCGCCACAGATCATGGTGCCGCCCAGCAAGCCATGAGTTCAAATGAGAAATCCAGTTCTAACGTGATCGGAAACAGGCAGCACAGATATTTTTCAGTGCGTTTTTCTTCTGGCTCCATAGTCTTAAGTTCTGCATTGTGTGCTGGGTGTCTGTTCGTCGCTGAGTGAGAGCCTTTTTCTCAAGAGTGGTAGGAGGTGACCGATCCCCTTTCTTAGGTCACTTTTAGGGGCCAAAGTCAGGTGTTCAGTGAGATTCTCACTTAGAAGACCAGATAAGGATGTATTCCACGTGGCATTAGTGCTTGGTGATGGGTTATTCCACCCAGCACAATTTTCTAACTTCTGGTTTTAAGGATTTTTTTTTTAGTTCTTAAACAAAAGGTAATAATATTGAGAATGTAATCAAGTTGCTTTTATTAATAAGCAACTTTTATTTCTTTTTTTAAAGACTTTGTTTATTAATTTTTGAACAGAAGGGAAGGGAGGGAGAAAGAGAGGGAGAGGAACAGCAACGCGTGGTTGCCTCTCATGCGCCCCCTACTGGGGACCTGGCCTGCATCCCAGGCATGTGCCCCAACTAGGAATCAAACTGGTGACCCTTTGCTTCTCATCCCAGAGCTCAGTCCACTGAGCCGCACCAGCTAGGGCACCACCTTTATTTCTGTAGGCAGAGACAGTCTGCATCATTGCATCATATTCGCTGTGGTCATTGGACTTCTTGTTTTCTCACAGATTGGGGTTTTTATGGATGTGTGTGTGTGTGTGTGTGTGTGTGCACGCTTTTGAATTCTGTTGTAATGTAAGAAATCACAAGCATGTGTATCTCATTTCAAATGTGCAGAGACAGTTCTAGACAGGAAACAGAGACCTTGAAGTACAATTCTACCTCCTTGTTCCACCTTCAGTTTTTGTCCCGAAAAGAGAGGACTTAAATTTTTTAAAAATTCTTGTCTGTCACTCTGGGGGGTTTTTCTAACGCCCTCCGCGGCAGGTGTTTGCAGGGCATTATGAACTGCGAACACTGAGAGAAGAAAGGCTGGGTTCGATTCGCCGCCGGAGGCCGAACTCAGCTCTTGCCATTGCCAGCACGGGTCCCTGGGTGGCGCTGGTAAGGGTGGCCTGTGCTCTGCCGTCTCAGGTATCTGTACAAGCTGTGTGACCTGCACAAGGAGTGCGACAACTACACGGAGGCGGCGTACACCCTGCTGCTCCACGCCAAGCTGCTGAAGGTGAGAGCGCCGGAGCATGCACTGTTTTGACCGTGTCTTTACAAATGCCAAGGGGATTTCAAACTGGGTCCTTCAGTGCATTTTAGTGAGCCTGTTAGCAAAGGTTTTGTGGGTGTTGACTAGACCATGTGACATAAACAACGATATTTAGGAAGCACTTGGACCATAGCAGTGGCCCGGTGGGTGCACATTTAACAAGATGTCCCCACAAGTTGTCACCCAGCTTTGTAAACACATCAACACGCATCTCGGGGCAACCGGCAGCTCCTTCTTCCCTTCAGGGAGAACCCGCAATGGGGGAGACGACACCAGAAAGGAGGAGGCTGGGGCAGCGGAGTCCGGGCAGGGCACACGAGACTCGTCCCAGCAGAGCACAGGGCCAAGGGGGGTGATGCAGGCACCGCCCCTCAATTTCTGCTTTCACATCACCAACTCAAGACAGCGTCTTTCTCATCCTATGCTTATTTTTAAAAACACAGAAAACAGAAAAATTGGAAATCAGATAAAGGAGAAAAACTGGGAACTAGAACTTAGCACATAACCCTCCATAACCCACTCAGGGAGCCCTGTCTCTGACCTCGGGCCCCCTGCCCCCTGCCCCCTGGAACCAAGTGGAAGCAAACCTGCTAAGATGCATGGCCATGAGTGGGCACGAGGCAGAGTCTCCTGGATGGTGGCAGGCTCGGGGCCGGGCTCCGTCTGGACACCTCGTCAGTGGCCATCGGCAGCCCCTGGACTTCACACCGTGTGAAGCTCCCGAGTCCGGGAGATGGACATCGTGTGAAGGGAGAGGTTGGAGCGGGTGCCTCCCACCCTGGCCATCCCACTGGGCATTCTAACAGTCTTCCTGTGTCAGAGACCCAGATTTCAGAAAGAGAGCATTTTTGCAAATAAGAAAAAACTTCTCTGACACCAGGAAATTAAAATAAGGTTGACAAACTGCTCACCCACCATTACGCGCTCTTATACGGCATGAACGTGAAACATGCCTGTGCATGTAAAATACATAGGTGTGCATTAGCTGCCGTTTGCCTCATCCTTAGATCTGTGTCTCACGGGGTTGTGTTCACAACCCGGATCAATAGGCCTGATTGCATTGTCTTTCTCAGTGAGCCTCGAATTTTCCGGTTAAGTGGCCACTGCGCCCTAATCTCTCTCCCTATCTTTTACATCATTACGTTCTGCAATCTTTCCTAAATAGGTTTTGATCCAGCTGTGAATGTGAATTGTTCTGGTTAATCAGCATACTGAAGAACAGTATTTGTACTGTTACGAAAATTCTTCTCAGTATAACAATGACAAATACGCATCCTAGGTCCTTAACGAAAAATCCTCAAACGGAACCTTGGAACCTTCTTTTTTGCTTAAGGACACTTTGTCTGCACACAAGGACAATAAAAGCAGTAGCCTTTAGCCTAGGAATCAAGTTCTTACACCTCCCTGTTTATGAGGAAGATAGAAGGACCTTTGCTCCCCTCCTCAGTTTTCTAAGTGATTTTAAAATTCAAAGAAGTCATTTGAATCTGAATACTCTAATCTGTACTTACTTACAGCAGTAACAGTTCAGAATCCCCTTAAGTCCTTGTAGCCCCCCCAAAAGTAGAAATCTAGCCATGTTGTGAAAACTTCATAATTAATGAGGTTATAACTTCCAGTTGTGGCCAGGATTCACGAGTCCAAGTTCATGATGAAAAAATGTGCAGGCCGGTTACAGGGGTGTCCAGCCTGCAGCCCAGGGTGGCTGTGAACACGGCCCAACACAAAATCATAAACTCACTTAAAACACGATGAGATGTTTTTGTGATTACGTGTCACCACGTATTTAACGTGTGGCCCAAGACAACTCTGCTTCCAGTGTGGCCCAGAGACGCCCAAAGGTTGACCTCCCTGCTTCCTAGAGCTGGGAGCCCTTCTGGCCAGCTCTGTCCTGCGCCTCACAGCCCGGGCCCAGCCACCGTGCCCTGGGACCCTCCGGCTGCAGGAGCGTCGGGAGGGGCGCGTGCTGAGAGCGAGCCTCTCGGGGATCCCTGCCAGCTCCCCGGAGCCTGCTCCTCATTCGCACAGGCCAGTCCCTTTGCACCTGTGCCCTCTGTCACCGTGGTGCCTGGCTTTGTTCTGCCTCTCCAGCACCTCCCATGTGCCATGTCTCCCCTCCAGTGTGGGCCACAGCAGGCCCCACTGCCTCGAGTGTGGCCCAACCAGACTGAGTCCCACAGGGCACCCGCACCCCCACTTTGGTCCAGGTGACCTGGGAGCTGCTTTTCGCAGCACTGTCATTGTCACATCAGGTCACAGTGCCAAGCTCCACCCTCCGGACTGATAAGCCAGCGCATCCTGATGACTTGCTGCAGGGAGTCTCCCAGACCCCCTCGCACAGCCTCGCCTCCCTCTGTGCTGCCCGTGAAACCTCCTCTGTGGGTTATTGAGCCTCACGCTCCAGTTTGCAGCAGCACTGTCGCTGGGTCAGCCCCTCTGACCCGCCTTTGACATAGGTCCTTGCACACAGGAAGTCCTCACCAAACACTGAATTGTGCGGACCCCCTGCACTTAATACCATTGACCCGCTGAGCCTCAGCTCAAGCGTCTACCTGCCAAACGAGCCTGCCTGCCCTTCGGCCCGTCTCCCACTGGCCGAGACCTCCGCGGGCCTTTCCCTCCTTCTGTGAGTCCGCCTGCCCATGGGCGAACACTGGCTGGCCCCTGCCCTGTGCCGGGCAGCGTGCCCGGCTGAAGGCACAGAAACGCCCACAGTCTCCAGGGAGCTGGGTCGCCCATCTGGGCCCCTTGTTTACAACTTGGAAGTGGGGTCCATGGCCTTCTTTGCTCTCGATGACAATGTCGAGCAGCACAGTCCTGAGGCCGCACCCCAATGACCCAGCGAGACAGCCACAGGTCACCTGGCTCACAGCACATCCCGGGGTGACAGGGCATCAGGAGCAGGCTGACAGGTCCGCACTTCCTGGAACCTGCCGGGTCACTCCTCTGTGGGCTTCTGACCCACCTTTGCCTCCTCTTGTCATGCACTCCTCACGGGGCCTCTGCACCGGCTTCTACCCCCATTTCCAGGCCCAGCTGCCCGGTGACAGCAGCCCCAACAGTCCCCAGTATTGTGGCTGCATGCATGCTCTGAATGCTCTGAATGCGAGCTCCCTGCACATCCTGCCCCGAGGGTGGGCAGAGGGCAGCACTGCACGCGCCCTGCTCCGGGGACAATACTCACACTGCTTTTGCCTTAGTGGTCGGAGGACGTGTGCGCAGCCCACCTGACCCAGCGGGACGGGTACCAGGCGACGACCCAGGGACAACTGAAAGAGCAGCTGTACCAGGAGATCATCCACTACTTCGACAAGGGCAAGGTAAAGGAGCGCTCGGTCCTGCCTCCTCCTGCCACGTGCACACGTGGCTTCGTGCACGATGCTGTTGGGAGCGGAAACTTGTTACAAAGCATGTGTTGTGTCGGGAGGATTGACGCATCCTTCACACTTGGGGACCAAAACCACGAGTGTGTTTACAGCGCATGCCCAAGGGAACCAGTGGGGGAGGGGTCCCGGGCGCTCACAGGCTGTGTGTTTCTCGGACGTGGCGTTTTAGTTCATTCTCACTGAAAAGTTCATCTGACAGCGGCTTCTAGATTGCCTGGCTCAGACCAAGCGGTGTGTCCGTTGACTCGTGCTAGGAGACCCCTGTCGTTTTAATCAGCCAGGGACGGGCTCATCCCTGGGCGGGCTCCTGCGGCCCCTAGGGGCAGCCACCATGTTCCAAAGGGCTGCTGACTGCAGCTGCAGGAGCCACTGAACCCCACCGGCAAAGTGGCCCCCGAGCTCCTCCTGCGGCTTCCTCGGGACCACCTGGTGGCCTGCTTTCTGGTTTGTTCACTTTGCGAAAAGCAACCAGAGAGTCCCTCACAGGCCCCTGCGTGAGTTTCCTGAGGCTGCAGTCGCCAAGGACCACCAACTGGTGGCTTTCGAGGACAGAATGGACTGTCACCATTGTGGACCCCAGAGCCCTGAAAGGGCCGTGTCGGCCGGGCCCCGCTGGCTGCAGGGTGACAGGCGGGTCTGCGCCAGGCCTTCCCGTAGGTTCCCGAGTTGCCGGCAGCCCTGGGCCTCCCGTGGGAGCACACACCGCTGGGCCCCCGCCTCCGTTGCCGTGCGGCACTCTCCCTGCGTGTGTCTCTGCATCTGGACTTCCCTGCTCCGGGGACACCGGTCGTTGGGCTCGGGGCCCTCTCGGTGCAGTCCGGCCCCATCTTAACCTGCCTGCATCGAAGGCCCTGCCTCTAAATAAGGTCACGTCCACAGAGACCGCAGGTCAGGGCTTCAGCGTGGCTTTGTGGGGACACAGTCCTACGTCAACAGCACCTGTCAGGAGAGTCTGATGGCTGCCCCTTCTGGTGGCTGCTGACACCAACCAAACCCTCTTAAAGAGATGATGTGTGTTTTATGTAGACCCTACTGTCCTCGACACCCACTGTCCTGGACAAAAACCAAGAGATTTCGAGTGGCCTATTGCCGGAGGCCACTTGGAAATAGAGGTCTGAAGTGTCTTGTGGATCACACCCGCCCCCTGTTGGAACAGGATGCCTGTCTCCAAAGAGGAGACGCTTCCATGACTAACTCCAATCACCAAACCCTGCCTGTGAGCAAGAGACGCCACAGACGCAGCCGCTCCTTGCCCTGCCGTGTGCCAGAGAGAGCGGTCGGGTGCTGCGGGGCGGGCAGAGTCAGAGGTGGGGACCGGGAGGCCGGGATGCCTGAGGGCCCGAGGTCACGGTCGCCACGAAGTGTATGCCTTTGCTGACGGCCATTCCCAGCTGCTCTGCGGTGACCACGGATCCGCTGATGGTATCTGGGGGGGCACCCGCTCCCACGAGGCGTCTCTTCCCGGTCAGTCTCAGGCTGAGGTGTGCACCGACCCCCCCCCCGCCCGCCCTTTGCCCCCTGGACCACCCCTCTGGGCTGCAACAGGGCAGCCACTTTGTCGGCTCGAATTGCCTCCAGGATGCCCAGACCCCAGGGCACCGCCTCCTCTGCAGGCAGACCCGAGCTTCTCACCTGGCAGGCGAGGCCCTGACGGAGGGCTGCACCCGGGGTCCCCACCCACCTTCGCCCACAAGGGCCCCCTTTTTCTGTGCATGTTCTGTGGTTCCGCCGCCTGGCCACCTTGCCTGCCGTCTCCACCTGGCATCCTTCCACCCTCCCGGTACTTCCATTCTCTGCCCCCGGAGCCCTCCTGCCCCTCCGTCCCGGGAGAGCCCCCTCTCCGCCCTGCCTGGGAACTCCCGACGTGCGTCCTGTAGCCCCTACTCTGAGTAGCTTCCCTTCAACGGCCCCCAAGCCCCCTGGGGTCCTGTTGAAACGCACACGCTCTTTCAGAGGGTCTCGGTGGGCCTGAGCATCTGCCTGTCTGAGTGGTGCCCAGTGGTGACAGTGCAGCAGGCGGTGCCCCCTGTGTCTGTGTCTGTGACCCCCCCTGAGGGAGTCCTGTGCCCCAACACACTGGGCACCCCGTCATTTTTATAAATCAACTTGATTTTTCAGAGCAGGTTCAGGTTCGATGCATAACTGAGAGGAAGTCACAGTGAGTTCCCGCTGCGACCCTCGTCACTTTGATTCATTTTTCATTGAGCACATTCTGGCCAGTGCTGGAGCAAACTCTGGAAAAGCCACCATCACTCGGGCGTGTCCTCGGGGCGGACTTGCCCCCGACTGAGCACGGAGCCCCTGTGAGGCCGCAGTGCGTGTCCCCCTGCTGGTGTCCCCTCCCCTGACCCAGGGCGGATCCCCAGCACCGCGCCTGCAGTGGGTTTGGAGCGCGTGTCATCCAAGGCTGCTTCCCAAGCCTGCCTGCCTCTGGGCCTGCCACTGACCCCGCCGACCCCGCCCAGCGCCACGCGCTGCACAGAGGCCGCAGGTCAGATAAACACGAATTCTCGCCAGAGCAGGGCCAGCTTTTTCTGCTCTGACTCCCGGGCATCTGTTAGAAGTAACAGTCTTGGTGCAGAATGACGGCAGGGGCCCCTGGGTGCACAGGCAGGGCTAGGCCCACAGGGAGGACCTTGAGGCAGCTGCAGGTGCGGCTGCATCCAGGCCCAGGTTCCGAGTGTGCAGCGCAGGGGTGTTTCAACCAGGAGACTTGGGCTTGACTTGACACTAATGTTGTTTTAGGGGGAACATTCTGCTTTAAAGCCATCTACTCAGTAAGGGGACTTTGTGCCACTGTGGAACTCGAAGACCAGCTGTTGCTGGGACCACAGAATTACAGAATGAAAACTAACAGTGCAGAAATATGACTCAGGGACGGCTGTCACCTCGTGTAATTAAGGATGCCCTCATTACAGCCTGGGTGTGTGGGAACTTTACACGTCCCGGAGCTGATTCCCACTGTGTGACGCACACGCAGCCCCCTGGGGGACGCGGGGGCTGCAGAACCCAGGCAGGCTTGTCTCGGGAAGACCTCGAACACCCAGGCCTGTCCGGCCGCCAGTGGCCTGGGGACAGCGTCGCAGCTGCAGGGACGCCCCAGGTTCCAGCGGGAGGCCAGGGGTCCAATTCAGTCGATGCCTCTCTGCCCTCTGCTCCGAACGCCCCGGTGGATGTTCTGCACCTTCGTGTCGGACTTTCCAGCTTTGTGTTCTGTCATCATCGTCTCTGTTTCTTCCGCACAGAGTCACTCTTTCGTTTCCCCCTTCTGAAAAGTTCCGGATGTCCTTCAGCCCCGCCCCGATTCCTTTCATCTTTTTCTTTCTCTCTGTACAGTGTCATTTCCATCTCTATCTCCTTTCATTCTGTCACAGCTCTTCCTTCCAGGGCTGACAGTCCCCCCAGCCCTCCCACACTGTGTTCTACCCCTGCCCCCATCGAGCACTTTCCCGAAAACTGTCTGGCGGGCTTTACCGTGGCACCGAGGGGGCTCTAAATTGTCTGTCTCATTGTGTTTGGTTGGCGCCTTTAATCCAAGCCCCTCACGGGACAGCACCGGGCTTCTCTGTGGAGGGCGAGTCGAAAACAGCCCCACCAGGAGGGAGGGGCAGTGGGCGGCACCACCCACAGTCACCACCGTGAAACGCACCCCCCCAAATTACCAGCAGCCTGGCCACAGCTGCCGAGGGCGACTCACTGATCCCGTGTGACGTGTGAAGCTGTGAGTATTTCCAACTGCAGCTTCGTTTTGTCCTCTCTCAAAATAACCTCTCCTTGACAAAGTTCACACTTTGCCCTGTGCCCGAGTCAAAAAACGAGGCTCTTTGCATCATCTTGTGAACCGACCAGGGGGGTTTGGGAGCAAGTTTCTGTTTTTGTTGGAATGACTGAGTTGCTTTTCTAAGTGTTGGGGCTGAAATTTCCTTGTCCTGTGAGTTTTGTCCTTGAAAACCAAATCATGAACAAGAGGAAGTGCAGGTGCAGACACCCCCTCTTTTTGGTTGATGCTCAGCATTTCCGAAATTTTTGAAAATCCTAATATTCTCCATAATCACTTCAGTTCACCAGAACTTGGCCTGAGTGTTGAAAGAGATCATCTGTTCATAAAAAAAGAATCATTTACTATCGAAGCTTGAGAAAAACCCATTTTTAGAGCCAGTGACACCCCGGCTCCCCCGCAGTCCGCACGCTATCCACGGAGCTGTGTCACGAATAAGCCTACTGTGTGCCAAGCGCCGCCCTGCACCTGTGACTCACAGGAAGGAGAGGGTTTCGGCCTGGCCCAGGGCCTGCAAGGCGGACCCTGGGCTACCAATGGTCAGGTAAACACCCAGCACTCCTCCGGCTGCCCCACCGGTGGGCACACAGTCACCCTCTGACAGGTGCGGATGTGATTGCTTCTTCTGGGGAGAAAGGGAGGGCGTCACCTGCAGAGAAGACGGCATTGAACTTGGTGGACGAGATGGGTTTGGCCAGGCGATGACGAGGAGGGGCAGGGATGGCAGAGAGCAGGCCAGCCCCGGAGGGCCCGGGCCCTGGGACACGGCTCTTTCTGCTGCGGCAGCAGAGGCTGCTGCTGGCCACGGTGAGAACAGCAGGCCCTTCTCGGTGGGGCCACAGCCCTGAGTCATCCGCGGCCTTCTCTCTGACACACGTCCTCCCGGGGCTCCACCCCCATCCTAGGGGGACCAGCAGGGGCTCTTCCCTACAGCATCCTGCTGATGCTGAGCACATGGGACCTAGTTCCATTCCGCGCCACCTGGTCTTTTCTGGTGCAGCGGGGACCTCCCACACCACTGGGGTGTCATCACATCAGACGCCCTGTGGGGCCCTGGAAATTCAGGGGGTCCAGGCATGTGACTCTTCCCAGCAGCCATCTGGAAACAGATGAATTTTCGAAGAGGGACTGAAATTCAAGCCGCCCATCCGGCATCTCCACTGTGGGCTCCTCCCAGCTTGTGAGCAGTTTGAACCCCATGGCCCATGGGTGTCCCCTGGAGTTGCCACCTGCCCAAATTACTAGCGAGGCGCTGGTGTCCAGGTGGGCAGTCATCCTGTCCGGCCGGCCACCATCCCCCTCGCCGTTCTCCGCGGGGAATCGAGAATCGCTGGGCTCCAGGCGTCCCCTCCTGTCTTTGGACCACGGCAGGAGTTTCGCCAGAAAGAGAAATGAGTGTCCGTCGCATGGAGCTCCCCGAAGCCAGCAAGTTCAGAAAGAAGAGACTGTCATCTCAGAAGCATGGAGCTGAGATCCTCGGATGGGAAGAGTATTCCACATTGCAAGTAAACTAAGACTTGCAAGTACGCTATGACGCAGATGAAGGATCCCGCGTGAGAAAGCAGAGCTTGCGTGGTCCCGGCGCCTCTTCCTTCTGTTCTCTGGTGGCACCCAGCACATCTCATGGGGCAGCTGCGCGGGGCCCGGTGGGATAGGCCGGGGCGGGGCGGGCCGCCAGTTGCACAGGTGAACGTCGTGTATGGCCGTTACCATAGGTGCCCCCCCACTCTCCGTAGAGCCCTGTCCCATGAGAAGCAGACAGTCTCCTTGACACAGAGCCTTTAAAGCAGTCTGGGGGAACAGTGTGTGTGTGTAGAGAATCTGATAGAAAACACAACCGGGGGACCTCGGGGTGAGATATCATTCAAGACGTGTGTGCTTTACAAACAATGACCGTTGCCACCTCTCGGAGGCATCTCCTCCGTGACTGAGGGCGTGAGCACGTAGGCGGGGAGTGGGCAGCCCTCACCTTCCAGGCAGGTAGCCGTGGGGAGTGAGTGAGCGGGCGGAAAAGTGCAGAGAAGTCCGAGGAAAGAGAACTACGCAACAAGGGGATGTTTCCTTTGAAGCGAACGTGCCGTGGCTCTTGGAAGGGACATGAAAAGTGTGAGGAGCCCCCCTCCCCGGAAATGGGAGCTCGGGCTCTGGCAAAGGACCCAGGGGGACCCGATCGGCAGACGGGGATGTTCAAAGAATGCAAGGAGAACGCTCCGGAAAGGGGCAGGAGGGAGGCCGGCACCACCTCCCCCTTTTTCTACCCTGGGCTTATGTTTATTTTGTCTTTCGAAGTATTAAAATGCAACTCTTATTTCCAAATGTCTCTTCTCTCACCAAAAACAGCCAATGGTTTCTTTGAGCCACAGCTACGTACAAAGTAGTTTGAGTCAGTTGGGTGATTAGGTGATCAGTGAGGCCCTGGGCGGTCATCCTACTAAGAAAAGGCAGAGGCCAGCAGGCGGCGGGGTTGGCGGGGGTGCCAGGTGCGGGACTCTGCGGCCTGTGTGCCCGGTGGGAGCCTGAAGGGCAGGACTTGCCTTTGAAACCCTTTCTCACATGTCCGAGCAGGAGGGGCTGGGGGCAGCGGCCAGTGCCAGGGCTGAGTGTCTGTATCTGCCCAGATCCCTGTGTGAGAGGCCCATGCACCCCACACGATGGTTCCTGGAGGATGGGCCTTTGGGAGGTAATTAGTGCCCTAATTAAAGAGGAAGAAAGGGATCTCACTCAAGGCCATGGGAGCCCACCGTGGCAAGGCAGCTGTTTGCGAGTCAGGAGGAAAGCCTTTACCCAGAACCAGATCTGCTGGCACCTTGACCTTGGACTTCCAGCTTCCAAACTGTGAGAATTAAGGGCACTGTGGAAGCCACCCTGCAGGGTTTTTCAGTGTTTTATTTTAATAGCAGCTCAAACTAAGACAGTCATCAAAAGCAAGAACATTGCAGAAGGACCAAGGCGAGGCGGGTCCACGCCACTGCGTGCCCTTGACCAAGTAACTGGCTTACTCGATACCCGGCTTCCTTTTCTGCAAAACGGGCGTAAGGCAGACATCCACCGGGCAAGACGAGGGACGTCCCCAGGAGCGCGCCGGTGCGTGTTGCCGGGTACGACGTAGGCTCCACAGCGCTGCCCGGAGGGAGGGTCCGTCGAGGCAGGGGCGGATCGGAGGGGGCGCCTTCCTGATTCCAAGCCAACGGCCTTCACTCCCTGAGGACTAGAGGCAGGGTGTCCCCACTTCGAACGTCTCCAGGTTGGGGAACCCTGGGTTCTTGAAGGAGAGCAAAGGAAGAGAGGGCAGCACCTGGGAAGGCTTCCAGGAAGAATAAAGCAAACCACTTTGTTTTATTTTTCCGGAGAAATTCAGCGATGTTTCAACCGATTGTTCCATGTGTATCAAAGTTTACCAGCATTTTAATAAACGTATTAAATTATTTCTTTTAATGTGAGGGCGGGCTCTGCACCCTCGTGTTTTTTGCACACACAGAGCCGACTTCCCGCCAGCTTTGTTGCGCTGAAGTGACTCCTGGTCTTTCTGGGCATCGAAGCAGAGCATTTATCAAACGAGGTGATTTGGGGACGTAGCGACATGGGCTCCTTGTGGCCTCTCACCGCCCCTTCTCCTGAGTCCTTGGCTGCCCACGCAGACGGGCTCCGGTGGCCGTGAGCGTCAGCAGGACTGTGGGCAGAGGCTGTGTGACCAGCGAGCCAGGAGGTGACCAGGTTCCTCAGCGGGTGACCAGTCGTAAGCCAAAGGACATGAGTCTCTAGTAACTGTCCTTCCCACATTGTTACCAGTATTTTTGATTTCAGCAGCTTATGTCCAAGTTGTTTGGTTGCGATGCCCGTGTTGCTCCTTTCCGCTTCGACCGCCACTCAGGCCGGGCCTCTGTCACCCCCTTTTCTTCCCGCAGATGTGGGAGGAGGCCATCGCCCTGGGCAAGGAGCTGGCCCAGCAGTACGAGAACGAGACCTTCGACTACGAGCAGCTCAGCGAACTGCTGGTAGGTCCCTCCTCCTCCGACGTAAGTGGGCTCGGCGGCCTGGGCGTGTTTTTCTGGCAGGTCCAGTTCCCTTTCCATGTCCCGGTCCTCCTGCGGCCCTGGCCGTGGTCTGGGAGGACAGTCTTGACTCGTTTGCTGGTTGATGGTGGCCCAGGGGCCTTCACTCCTCATTCCCCACTGAGCTTTGGCCGCCAAACCCTGGGACTCCCAGCAGGGGGCGCTCTGTGAGCTCCCTCTGAGCCCACTCCGCACAGCGGCCTGGGTGGCCCGAGAGCCTCCCCGGGTCTGGGGAGGGGCCCAGGCCTGTCCCCGTGGCGGGAGCTGTCGGCTCCTAGTTCCTGCCTGCTCTCCGCGTCACATACCAAATGGGGTTGTAATATGTGCGGTTACTCTAGAGCAGAATTCTGCCCCCATACGTTCTTGGTTAACGGGCTCTGCTATCTGATTAACACCATGTTTGAAACTTCTGAAGACCAGCCACTTAATCAGAAGACGGGCCTTGTCTGGGCCACCTACTTGGTCATCGAATCAGCCATACTTCACAGCTCGGGGCTGAGTTTGGCTTTTGTGGTCGGATTTCCCTGGCCAGAACAGTGCAGGGTGGGTGGAAACACTGTCAGCCCTGTGGGGGGGTGCATTCAGAAGCAGGTTCCAGGGCGCCCAGACACCCTCCTGGAATTGCTGGTGCCTGACGGGCCCCCCCAGAAGAGTCCAGGGGAACAGGCTCCTCAAACACTCAGTTCAAACCTGAGACACGTCTTCTTCCTTCTGCCAGAAAAAGCAAGCTCAGTTTTACGAGAACATCGTCAAAGTGATCAGGCCCAGGCCGGACTACTTTGCGGTTGGCTACTACGGACAGGGGTTCCCCACGTTCCTGCGGGTGAGTTCGGGTTCCGCTCCGCCTGTGCCCACTGGCTCCTTGCAGGGTGGGGGGCCTCCCGCTCTGGGGGGGGGGGCTGGGCTTTGCACCCGTGGTCCGAGTCTGACTGTTCGTATTCTCACAGCTCCGTGCTGCGCTTAGGGTGCGGGGGGGGGGGGGGGCTGAGGGCAGGGGGTGGCAGAGGGAATGATAGGATTTGGCTTAATTGCATGGGAACCTGCCATCTGAGTTTCCCTGCCAGAGCTCTCCTTCAGAGACTGATGTGTGTTGTCTGACGTGTGGTAAAATACACGTAGGTGGGTCACTTTCACTGTGTGTAAGTGTGCAGGCCAGTGGCACTGAGCACATGCACAGTGTTACACGGCCCTCACCGCCACCCACCTCCGATCCGTGTCACCCTCCCTCCCACACTGGAGCTCTGTCCCAGGGAACAGTGGCCCTGCCTGGTCCCCTCTCCCCACGCGGGGGCCACCACCCTGCCCTCCGCCTCTCGGAATCTGCCGACTCTGAATTAGGGACCTCCTGCTAGTGGGTTCGTACAGGATTTGTCCTTCTATGTCTGGCTTATTTCTCTTAGCCTGACGTCCTCAAGGCTCATCCACGGCGTAACAGGCGACAGAACTTCATCCGTTTTTATGGCTCATGATATTCCATTGCTCAGATAGGCCACGTTTTGTTTACCCACTGGTCCTCTGGTGGACGTTTGGGCTGTTTGGAATAACACGGCTGTGAACACGTGTATGTTTCACTGTGTGAGAACCTGGAGGTGGGGTTCCCGTGCTGGAAACTCTGAGTCACACTCCAGCCCCGGGGACAGGCACGTGCTCCCGGCAGGTGATGGGAGAAATCCCGAGATCATGAGCCGAACACCCGATCCCTTGAGCTCAAGAGTCAGAGGAGACATCATGTGTGCGGATGCCATTGGCCAGCAAGTCACGACCGCCTGTCATTTCTCATGGCACTTTTCAATGACACATAGTTTTCTCTTGTCCTGGGGAACCGGGCTTGATTCCCTGCTTTTTCGGAAGCCAGCGGCTGGGGCACAGCTCTCTGGGACAGTGAGGTCCAGCGAGGACATGTCCCTAATCTCAGGGCTGTGTTCCATCAGCCCCGGGGCCGTGGCATCTCTCATGCTGGCATCAGCGGTAAGGACGTCATTGAGGAAGAGCTGTCATCGTTTCTAGGAGCATCAGCAAGTGCCCCTCGCAGGGCCGGCCTGTGCAGAAGGTGACCCATGGGTCAGTCCACTCACTCAGTGTCCTGGCCGGTTGACTGGGCATCCAGCCCTGTCCTTGTCACCGCCAAGTCAGTCTGTCCTTGCCGCCCTCGCCTCCCCGGGAGAGCCTAGGTGGGGTGCATCTGAGATCAGGGTGGGTCAGAATCCCAGACCCTGGAGAAAGTCTTCTCTTCTAATGGAAGAATAGAGGCTATTTGGTTATAAGCCCTAAATTAGGGAGGATTTTGGAATTAACTGTATTTGGAGTACACAAATTGAAGGGAGTAGTGAGCGTGGAGGTGAGTCACCTGGTGTGGCCCAGGGCTGTGAGGAGTGTGCATGGCTCTGTGCGTGCCTGGGAGAGAGCGGCAGGCCCCCAGTCCCGTCCGGTGTGTGCCGCACCGGGGTGCTGCAGCTCCTGTGGCCCTCTGTGCACAGGCCTGTGGTTGAAGACCCCCGCCTGTGGCTCTGTCCTGGCGTCCCGATGTGCCGGGGGGGGGCATTGTCCCCAAGCCAACTGGTGCCAGGGATGTGCCCGGTGGGCACTCATGGTACCTGCTCCGGGGACCGCACTGGGTTACCCACCGAAGGACAAATTGCAAACTGCGGATTAAGTGTTTAACGGGCATGATTAATGCATGATTTCCTGCCATACCTGAGCAGTCGTGTGGGGCTGTAGCTACACGCTCCTTCCACCTCACAGACCCGCTGTCGGGGGCCAGGCTGACAGTGGCATTGGCCGTCACAGGAAGCGGGCAGAGTGTCGGCGGCTGCGTGCAGTCCTGGGACAGCTGCCTCTGAGAAGCAACCGCCGCCCCCTTGGCCTTGCTTTTCTTTAAGGATGGACCTCATTGGTTTTGCAATCCTATTAATATTATGTTCCTTACGAGAGCTATCTTTGACTACATGTACATTTCTCCTTGTTTTCACATGTGAAAGGACCATTTCAGAACGCAAACAAACTGACATTTCTAGAAAATGTTTTCAGTTTTTCACCTATAACTCACTACTAGTTTTCCATTAAAGCCTTTATGTACATCTTTATTATTAAGTCTTTCTTCTAGTGCACAGTAAATTCATGTTCATTTTATAGCACCTGTTATACATGAAATCTCCCTGGATTTCTGAAACGTCTGGCTTTATTTAGCCGTCAGAGATGCCCATGTGGTGTGTTTGTATTTCTGATTAAGATTACATATTACTTTGGCTTCTGCTTGACTTGTTTTTTTTTTGAGAAAGAGAACATTTTTCTTCTATAATGGTACTTTACGACATACCTAAGCACGAAGCGAGTAAAATATTCAATTCTTAAACTGTTCCCTCTTTAATGATTTACAGAAACTCAGAGTAAGTTGGGTAGGGAAGGAGATAAATTGAATACCAGAAGGTCTCTCTCCATCTTTTAGAGATTCATTTATCAGACAGATTTTCACGTGACTCTGAGCTGACACCCCAGGGGATGCTGATCCCTCGTCCGTCTGTCCTCCCATGTGGCGTCTGTCCAGGGTCACGGCAGATGACCGGTGACCGGCCAGTTGGACCTCTGGCCCAGTGCCCCTGAATCGAAACCACAGATGCGCCCACGTGACCCAGTCCCCTGAGGAGAGGCCTCAGCCCCAGCCTCCCAGTCCTTGGGCCCCGTGGCTTCTGTCCTCTGGGTTCGGACGGTCCTGAGGTGGGCTGCGTGGAGGGGGGGGGTGGCAGGCAGTAGGTTTAGGGACAGCAGCAGCATCACACTGTGTCTCAGTTGATACTCAGACACGCTTGAACCCATGAAGGGACAGAGACCTGCGACACCTTGGAATCAGAACTTTCCCAAACAGAGATGGCCTCCACGAGACCACCCACGTGGAGAAGGCGGCAGACCTGCTAACACCCACCCCGAGGGCACCTGGCCTGCCGTCCGTACCAACCCCAGGGGCCTCTCCCACTGGGAACTTCAGGAGGTGATGAGAGTGTCACTTGAGGTGGACGAACCCCTCTGGAAGGAGAGTTCTGTGTGTGCTGCCTGGTCACGGGCCGATGGATAGTCATCTGCACAGTGTCTCCAAGTGTGTGACGAGAAGGGTCCCGCCACCGCCGGGGAGGCCACGCTCCGAGTCTGTGCTTTGGTCTGCCCTCCCCCCCGGGTTCTGCTGGGAAGGTCACACTCGGGCTCTGAGCCCCTGTCCCTCGGTGCTTCCCAAAGCCCCGCTGGCCGCAGGAAGTGAGCTGGGTGGAACCAGGGAAGAGTGTGCGTGCTCACGCACGTGCAGGGAGGGGCTGGCGTAGGTGGCCAGCTGTTCCTCCTGTAAAGGACACAGTAACCGGTCAGTAACGCTGCAGAAGAAGCTCTGTGTTCCACACATTCACAGCTGTCAACCTACATCCCCCCGACCCACAACGCGCTCCCATTATGCACTTGTCCCGGCGGCCGGGTGTCCCGTTCTGACCCCTTCACACCCCCGAGAGGGCAGGCTACAGTCACAGTCGTACCCTAGTGTCCATGGTCTTGCTGGTGGGTTGTCACTGGGAAGGCTGTAGTGCGTGACCCGAGTTCAGCGATGTTTGTCCGGGACTAACTTACCTGGCTCGTGTCCTGCTTACAGTGAATATAAGACCCGCTCGGTGACATGCGGTTCTCAGGTCGGTGACTTTTCCTGTACTCAGAAGGCCGGGAGGGCCTTCGGTGCAAAGGTGCCGGCCCACCCCGTGGCGCCCCTTTAATGCACGTCACTGTTTGCAGGGGAAGGTTTTCATCTACCGGGGGAAGGAGTACGAGCGCCGGGAGGACTTCGAGGCCCGGCTGTTGACGCAGTTTCCCAACGCGGAGAAGATGAAGACCACGTCTCCACCCAGTGACGAGATTAAAAACTCCCCCGGCCAGTGTATCCTTTCAGACCCCGTGGTCTGAGACAGCGACAGGAGGGGCCGCCCCATTGGTGTGGGGGCTGGGCGTCCTTGGGGCTGCGCTCCCTGGTCCGTGTCCTCCCCCCCCCCCCCCCGCCTGCGATCCTTGACCCCGTCCCTTCAGACATTCAGTGCTTCACGGTGAAGCCCAAACTGGACCTGCCCCCGAGGTTTCACGGGCCTGTCTCAGAGCAGATCGTCAGGTGAGCACCCCACATTTCTCGCCCCACCAGGGTGGGGAGCGGTTGTGTGCGGATCTCTTAGTATCGTGTGACCTTGGAGGTGACGGATTTTAGCCTGCGCCCAGCTCTCCAGACGCTCTTCCTCTTTGCTTAGGGGGACAGGGGAAGCGAATGCTTCTCAGCGTCAGGAAGGAAGTGGGGTGCAGTGAGGGACGCCCTCTCAACCCTCAAACAACACCCGGGTCGGGGTGCCGGCCCCCACAGTTAGGGGTCTGTGTCTAACTTTGACTCCTCCAAAACTCAGCTGTCCCTCGGCAGCTGGGAGGTTGGCTCCAGGCCCCCCTGCTCCAGTGCCCGAAATAAAATGGCACAGACCGATGCATACAGTCGGCCCTCCTCCGCATCCAGGGACCCCCGGGCGTGGGTGGAGAACAGGCAGTCGCTGAACAGAACCCACGTGGTAGTGGACCTGGGCCGTGCAAACCCCCGAAGGGCTGACTGTGAAGGAAGTGGGGGGGCATGAATGCTCTTGGCTGGGAGGGTGCGGGGTGGGCATGACTCGGTCTCCCCAGCCTGCACTGGGTGCTCACGTGACCCCCGCCTGCCCCCAGCGAGGACCAGCCGTCGCTGAGGCTGCCTGCAAACCTGCCTCTCGTGTAGCTCTGAGACTGAAGTGGACCAGACCTCCTCAAAAATAATGCAGACGTCAAGTCTTTAACTTTTAAAGTTATCAATTATTGACCTAAGTTCTCTTAATATATTAATTGTTGAATTATTAAGTTAAACTAAAATTATCTATTAAAGGTTTTAAATAACAAGAGGCCTCGGAGGACGCTGGCCTCTCCCTCTCTCCTTGGCGTCACCTCCTCTGGTTTTGCCCGTCTGGCTGTCACTCAGCGAGTCGTCCCCCCGAGGGTTCACAGGGACAGGGAGGAGGTGAAATTGAAGGCAGTTTTTCCCTTTGCCAGTGTCGCTGTGCCAAGCCGAGGGGAGAGGAAGACACAGCTCTCGCCTCCGGTCAAGGTTAGGGACGTTTTAGGAACAGGCGACTGTCGGGAGGCAGGAGGCACGCGCCTCTGGCAGGGAGCAGACTGCCTCTCGGGTTAAAGGCCTAATCACACCTCCGTCTGCGCAGTTTCTACAGGGTGAACGAGGTCCAGCGGTTTGAATACTCTCGGCCGATCCGAAAGGGAGAGAAAAACCCAGACAACGAATTTGCGGTAAAAAAACAACACCACCCCCCACCGCCCACTGCACCCCCCAACAGAACTGCCTGTGGGAGACCTGGCCTCGGGGCCCCCCGGCGTGGCGGTCAGTGGCCCCCCACGCCACATGCAGAAACCCTAATACAGCACCCTTCCGATGAGTGGAATGGGGACTGTACCACAAACAACGTCACTGAGTCCTGGGATGTTGTGACAGGTGTGGCCTCCCTCCTGGTGTGTCCCAGCTGGTCTCCATCTAGGCCCTGGGTGCTGGTGCCTCTGGGACAAAATGGCTCTCAGAGGTGCTAGGCACTTGGGGACAGGCGGTCCGTCAGGAGATGGACTCCAGGAGGGCAGGACCTGGGCAGCAGCGCGGAGGGCAGGGCTCTCTGAGCAGGCCCCGTCTGTCGCGGTCACTCAGGCAGTAAGGCCATTGTTTCTGCGGTGTCCCCAACCGCAGGTTGACAGGCAGTTCCCCCCGAGTTTGCCTCCCACATCTGTGTGCAGGAGCCTGACGTGTTCCCGCACTGCAGAGGGAAGGAGCGGGAGGTCAGGCAGACCGCCCCAGGGCCGAGCTGAGAGTAAGAGGGGCTCCCGGCGTCGTGGGGGGCGGCATGGGCCCCCCAGGCTGTGACTCGAAGAGGCCGTGAAGCACCCTGGTGGTCCCATCCAGTCTCTGCACACAGATGAGGCTCCTGACACAGCCTCGGGCTTTCGATGAGCATGGGGTCCTCACAGCCAGGGGAAGCCAGCGGGGCAGGTCTGGGATCCTGGGGCAGAGAGGAGGAGGAGGAGGAGGAGGAGGAGGAGGAGGAGGGACAGGGCCCAGGTTAGCCAGAGCCAGCCCTAAGCCCACGGCACAACCCAGAGGCCCCGCCAGGGTGCATGGGCATCGGGAAAGCACTCAGGTGGGCTCTGGGGCTGCAGGTGCCCAGGGAGCTGCTGCCTCTCGGGCACCGGGAGCACTGGCCCTGGGGACAGGAGGCCTCGGCCCGTGTCCCAGGGGCTTCAGCCTCCCTCCCCTCACCCGCTCCGTGGTCGGAGGGTTTGGGAGTCAGCCTGGTTTCCTGGAATCACAGATGTCCCGTTATGCCTTGGTCTGTATCAGGGTCAGTGACAGGCTCAGCCTCGTAGTGAGCCCCATCACGGGGAGGGGGGCAGTGCGGGGGGTGAGCCCGTGCGGCTTCACAGAGACGTGCTGAGTCGTATCCATGGGCTTGAAACAGTCTCCTGTGATATACAGTGCACCACGTCACAAGAAACAGATTATTAAAAGGGCACGCTTATTGGGAGTGTGAACACTTCCTATGCTTAGTCAGAGGTCCTGAACGATGGATCGTAAAATGTTTCAGTGCTGTGTCTGAGTAGCGGGTGACTTCTCCCTGTCTGTATCTTTATTCTAAAACATAGAGTATTTATGGCTAAAGCTTAGAACACGTATTTTATTATTACGTCAGAGATACGTGAACAAAGCCCAGTTTTCCCCAGTGGATTGGCACCTCTGAGTTTCTCTTGCCCACTGAGTGAGGCTAACCCAAACTCACTGCAGCAGCCTTTCCGAAATCCGGCTGCTCAGAGCCAGCCCCCTGGTTTCGACGTGTCTAATTCTCCGGTTATCTTTGTCTTTGCCAAATAGCAGGGAGGTGGGCACCATTGGCCAAGGAAGCAGGGGACACTCACCTGCCTATAGAGCAGAGCACGGCTTGTGAGGTGTTAGCTCAGCGCAGACCCGCCCCCTGGGACACTGAAGTGTGGCATTGGCCCCAGGGGAACCCCCTTTAGGGCAGAAGCCACCAGCCTGCCGACAACACCTCCCGACAGGCGCCGTGTGTTCCCTTTGCAGAACATGTGGATCGAGAGGACCATATACACAACCGCGTACAAGTTACCTGGAATCTTACGGTGGTTTGAGGTCAAGTCTGTGTTCATGGTAAGGGACCCCCCACCCCCGCCTCCGGAAGGAATGGTCCCTGACCATCTCTCCTGCCTCCAATACGCCCTCCCCTTCCACGGGTGCCAGGAGGGCTCTGTGACTGACGCGCACTGCAGACCCCAGATCAGACCCCAGCCTCCGGTTCTGGCCCTCGAGTGCCGAGGTGGGGTGCTGTGTGCCCACAGCCTGGCCGGCTCAGGAGAGGTATTGGGGGCCAGTCCTCGGAGCCGCTCTGACAGCCCCTTCAGGTTGGCCAGAGGGAGAGTGTAAGAAGAGGTCTGATTTGCATGCAGTTCTTCCGAGCTGCTTCCCGATGGTTTAACTGCCATTTACATGACAAACAACCGGATTAATAGTGCTCACTCCAAGTAAAAATAGCTTAAGATACCCCTCCCTGCACTTCTTAAAGAAATAACAACTCGAATCTCATTAGCTAAGCCCCCTCTGCCTCTGTAGCTCACCACCAGACATCTGGGGCCCCTGCTCCAGGGTGGGGCAACGGGTCCTCATCATGCACGGGGCGGGGCGGCGTCAGGTGCACTGGGTGCCAGCCATAACGATCTGATGGGAGGACAGGCGCTTTCTTGCTGTGCCATGGTACCTGTTGTCACCCGGCAGGGTCTTATCCGGAGGGCGTGGCCACCACTCAGTGTGCAGTGAATCACCTTGGAGGCTCCTGGTTTGGTTCTAGAGCACACAGGAGCCTCTCTTCCCAGCCCCGCCTCCTCCCCGCCCCCTCCTCACAGGCTGAACCCTGGGCTGCCCCAGAGTGTGCCCTGCTTACCACACCCCGCCCCGCCCCAGGTGACCCTCCTCCAGCTCCAGAGCCCCAGGGCTCTGCCTGCCCCCATCCTGGGCCCTTCCGCTTTCTGCCCTGGGCACTCCCGCTCTGCACCCACAGCACCTATGCGGTTCCTGACGTAGGGACGCTCAGGAGATGAGTGTCAGTGCTGGGGCCCCGCTGGCCCCGTGGAAGCCAGTGATACTCGTGGGTGAGAGGCAGCAGAAGAAGAGGCCCTTCACGGCCATGGGCACTAAGCCTCTTTTGAGCCTCTTCTGAGCCTCTTCCCATAAGCCCCTTGTAATCGGGAATTTGGTGAGCTGGCGAGGATGCTGGAGGAGGGAGCTTAACAGCAGTAGGTGGAGGGGCGTGAGCCAGACCTTCTGTGAGGACATGGTTCTGCCATTGCTGACAGATGCCAGGGCTGCACATGTAATCCCCCCGTGGGCGACGCAAAGCCTCAGCAACGCCCCATCCCTGCCCCTCCCGTGCGCCTCCGGGGACAGCCCGCCATGGGGCCTCTGTAGCTACCGCTGTTGGTTTGATAGGAATAGGAAACGCTTTTCTCTTGAAGCAAAGAGGGCAGACGGGTGCGAGACCGCGGAGGGGAAGCCGAGGGGCACCAGGGTGGGTTCGCCGAGCAGCGGCCGGGTCACAGATGGGGCCTGTGGGGCCCAGTCAGCAGTGGTGACAGCCTCCCACCCCATCCTGGGGATGTGAGAGCTCGTCCCCCACAGGAGGGTGCGTGGCCTTACATGGGGACCGTGGCAGGGCGCCTCTCGCATCCTGACCACACAGGTACAAAAGTGCCGAGGCCGGCCTACAGGACAGTGACAAATTGCTTGGACAGGCCCCGGCGAAAAGGCCACACGGTGAAGCCAACTGAGTGAGGTGCTTCAAGCACCAGTAGGGCTGTTTTCCTGAGGTGCCTACTGTGTACACACGTGCACACAAACGCACGTGGAAGCATAGCGTGTGCACACTCACAGGTGTGCGCGTGATTGCCTGCCCATGGGCACATGCATGCACACCCTTGTCTGTGCACATATCTCTGTGTGTGCACATGCTTTGAGTGCACGTGTGTGCGTGTGCGCACATGCTAGTGTGTGGGCATGTGCAGACACAGTATGTGTCCACGTGTTTGTGTGCATGTGCAGGTATGTGTGCACGTGTGTGCACATACACGTGCGTGTGGCACATTCATCTGTGTGTGCATGCATGTACATGTGTGCGCCCACATACCTGTGCACTTGCAACACCAGAGCTCAGCAGCCTGGCATTGTTCCTTTGGGGTTGGTGCTGCTCACTGTGGGGGTGGACACAGTGATACTGAAAGGTCAGCTGCCCTCCTCTGGGCAGTCAGGGGTCATCCATGGGGGAGGAAGGTACGTGGGGCATAGGAAGCCTGTCCTCACTCAGAAATGTTTCTCTGGCAAGATCCCATGAGCTGGAGCTGCAGCCGAAGGCCCCACGGTGGATGGGGAACCAGCTGGCCTGATGTGGTCCCGTGTCCCCCTTCCCGGCAGGTGGAGATCAGCCCCCTAGAGAACGCCATCGAGACCATGCAGCTGACCAACGACAAGCTGAACAGCCTGGTGCAGCAGCACCTGGACGACCCCGGCCTCCCCGTCAACCCCCTCTCCATGCTCCTCAATGGCATTGTGGACCCCGCCGTCATGGGTGGCTTTGCAAATTACGAAAAGGCAGGTGACCCACCAGCTCTCTCTTTCCAGCCCTGTCCTGGGACAGACCATCTCCAAACACCGTCTCCAAGCCGAGCCACCACCTCGGTCTCATCAAGTGACCTCAGCAGTGCTAGGCGAAGGCCAGGCCAGGGGCGCCCAGGACAGTGCTAGGGGGCGTGGTACACGGTGGATGTGCAAAAACACCAGCCAGATGAGCAGATGTGCTGAACGGCTCTCTGTCTCCCCCAGGCCTTCTTCACGGAGCGGTACCTGCAGGAGCACCCAGAGGCCCACGAGAAGATTGAGAAGCTCAAGGACCTGATTGCATGGCAGGTAGGTGTCCGAACGCAGCCTCACAGGCTGGGGGTGCGGGGCACTTGCCAAGTCCAGGCCCAGGTCCACCCGGCTACCCTCCACGCACATGCCGGCAGCACCGAGGCCCATGGATGTCAGCCAGAGTGTGTGTGGCTGTGTCTGTCCCAGAGAAGCCCCCACCACCACCCTGGTGAGCTCAACTCTGGGCCATGGCCAGGAACTTGGACACACAGAGTTCTCTCTTGCAGGTGGGTCTGCTCTGTTGCCTCTGGTTGGTGAGCTTGCCCGTTGCTGGAAGCTGTCTGGGATGGGTGGACAGGACAGCAGAGGCGGTGCCAGACCGTGTGTCTTAGAGCCCAGGTGCACATGTGTGCAAGTGCACAGTGAGCACTATGCACGTGTGTGCATGTGTGTGGTATCCATGGGAGCCTGCAGGGTACCCACCCTGGAGTTCTCCCTGCTTGTGCTCAGGGTTGGTGGGGCCTCATTTGTGTTCCCAGCTGCAACACTGTGTGCTACTTCGCTTTTCTACTTGTGATCCTGAGACCTCTGCATCATTCCTCAGAACGACGTGGTCTTAACAGGGCGGGGCACTCTGGAGGGCGTCATGTGTCCGTGGGAAGTTACCCGCTCCTGCACCTGTGCATCTTGGAGCCTCAGCGGGGCAGGGGGTGGAGGGGACGTCAGGCCCAGTTCTCATGGGAGCTCTGCCGACCTGCCCTGTGCTTTGAGCTGCTCCCTCCGGCATTGCTTTCTCATGTGGGCAGGGAGGAAGGTGCTGTCCAATGGGAACCCCAGGCCACCACGCTGAGCAGGGGTCCCAGGCTGCTGCTCAGGAGACCCCTCCGTGAACCCCTTTGTCCTGGCCCGCCAGCCTCAGCCCTGGGACTTCTCTGTCGTAGCACATCCTCCAGCCAGGCAGAGGGGCGGGGAATGAGACTGCACTTTGGTTTCCAGCCAAGACACAAGCACTTATTTTACACTTTATTGTAAAATTTACATCATGTAAATTTTTGCACTTCCAGTATCTTTAGGCTTGTAGCAGCTCAGTCGCATCAGGGACACTCACACTGTTGAGTGCCCATCACCCCCAGCCACCCCCAGAATGCTTGTCTTGCAGAACTGAAACTCCGCCCCATTAGGCAATTCTCCATTCTTCCTGCCCCTGGCTCCGCCCCGTGAGGTCCACGACTCTGCAGACCTCAGACCAGCGGGGTCACCCAGCTCTCGTCCTTTTGTGACCGCCTTATTTCACCCAGCGTCACGTCCTCAAGGCTCGTCCATGCTGCAGCATTTGCCGAGAGCCCTTCCCTTTAAGGCTGGATGCTGTTCCATCGTGCATGTGCACCTCGTTTTACCTACCCTCTCGTCCCCCAGTGGACACTGGGGTTTCTCCGGCCTCTTGCCTGTCGTGAACGATGCTGCTGTGAACACCGGCGTACAGGCATCTGTTGGACTTCCTGCTTTCACTTTGGGTACATGCGCAGAAGTAGGTGCCTACCTGCCGGGTGATACACTGGTTCTGTTTCATTTTAATTGTCTGAGGGACCACCAGGCTGTTTCCCATGACAGCTGCCCTGTTCTGGAGTCCCACCGGCAATAACGCACAAGGTCCCAGAGTCTCCGCGTCCTCACCCTCACTTGTTATTTGCTCTCTGTGTGTGCACGTGCACTCTGTAATGGCCATCCTAACGCGTGTGACTTTGCCACAAATCCGTATGCATTGTGACACATGTTTGGCTTGGAACTATCCTGTGGTGAGAAACCCTGGGGGCTAACCCCCACGGGACCTCAGTAGCCAGACCGCCTGGAATGGGAACCCCATCGTACGCAGGTTTCCCTGTTACTAAAAAAGAGAGAGTTTAAATGTCAGAATGATTCCAATTTAGATGTTGTTGAAACCGGAGGGTCCAAAATTCAGAGCTCCGGAAGGCTGTAAAACAATTGCCATACAAAAACTAGTTTGGTCTGCAAAAGTTGTATTGATTTTTTTTCTGTAAGCTTTTACAGCAAATTGGATTTTAAGAGTTTCAAGTCCAACAGAGGGAAATAATTTGTTCCCCAGGGAGAACTCGGTGTCAGCACTATGACATCGCCCCTAATAACTGTATTAAAGGATGAATGTTGAAGCAGCTCACAGGGGCGCTCAGAGAAGGGATCTGCCTTCTCGAAAGTCGGTTACATCACAAGTGCTGGGGGACCCTCTTCCCGACACTACCTGTGGTTTTACTTTCATTTGCAAATGTTTTGAAAGCCCCTATTTTCCCATCAGTCACTGAGTCATTCAGTCCTTAAAAATAAGAAGTTGGGGGCAAGGAGACCGCCTTCTCTTGTTTTGGTTTGTGAGTTTGTTTGGTTTGGTTTCTTTTTGAAGCGTCCTCCAAGTGGAGGGAGGGTCCCCTTGGGGCCTCCCGGGCCTCAAGGGCAGTGTCCATCACTGAGGCCCCGAAAGTGCATCCCGGCTCCGCCCGTCGTTCGGGAAGGCCGCGCATTAAGTGCCAGGCGGCTCCTCCCTCCGGGGGGCTGGAGTCAGGTGCAGGCTGCCCTGGCCTCTTCTTGGTCTGCCGCTGTCCCCATGGTCACGAGGGAGCCCCAGGCCATTCCCCGAAGCAGCCATGTTCTGGAGCATCCCTGCCAAGTGGCCAAAGATGAATCCGCACAGACTCGTGCTGACCCGCTGGGACGCACACACAATTCTCTTTGAAACGAAAGACCAGACGTGCTCAGCATGCCCAGCTGACAGGCAGGCCCGCCGCCGCCGGGGGCCGTGCTCCAGGAGCTCCCAGCGGCAGCCCCCAGCGCTCTGTGCTGCTGGCCGGCCAGGGATCCAGAGGGGGCTTGCAGGGACAAACTTCCAGTACGGCGCTGCCATGACAAGGGCGTCTCTTAAGAAAAGGCTCATGCTCAGTTTGAACAGCTCGAGGTGTGACTGTCCCCAGTCTGGACTCTGGGAGATGCTTTAGAAATGCAGATTCCTGGGCTCTGTCCCAGAGCACATCGGGCTCGGGCGGGGTTCAGCGGTCTGCCCTGGAGATTCTGATGCTCAGCCAGGTCGGAAGCCACGGGACTGAAGGGCCGCTCTTAAGGGCTGCGGCCTGGCTGCCGGCTTCGGGGTGTGTCCGACGGCTAATGAGCCACAGTGTATTTTACTCACAGCCACAGTTCAGCACCAACTAGACACAGACCAGGGGCCAGATCCCGTCCTCGAAGAGGGTTCTGTGTGACCAATGTCAGGGGCCTGTGCAGGGGAGAAGTTTCAGGTCCCCTACATTTCACCTGCCGAGTTACCGTCCAGGCAGTACCAGTGACCTAGCCCCGATGGACCATCTGTAGTCCAGCAGGTAGCTTCTCGGTGCCACAGATCTGCCCAATTCAGAGTTTAGCAACCAACAGAGCACTCCCAGAGGGTCAGATTGCATTGTGCACATTCGAGAGAGTCTGTGCTCCGTCAAAACGCTGTCTGTCTCTGGGGTAGCTGTGCATTAACCTTCAGACAGCCCCCCACGTTGCCCGCGCACCCAGAGACCCACCCATCCACCCTCCGCCCGGAGGTGTTGGCAGCCGCAGCCTGCCTTTGCCATCCCCTGAGGCGGAGCTCAGGAAGCCAGAGGGGCCCTGCGAGCTCGGTCCGCTGTGGAACCTGAACCGGAGGCCACAGCTCACACCGGGGAAGCTGCCCTGGGCAGGAGTGATTCACACAAGATGTAACAACACCCCAGCTCTCTCAGCATCTCACCTGCACACTGTCCTTTTGGCAATGACGGTGGGCAGGAAGGAGCCACAAAACAAACTGCGTGTAGGTGCAGCCGAAACCAGGCCTGTGGGCTGGGAACACGGGTGCACACTCACCCCCCCACCCTCCGTGGCAAACCACGGGGGACTACTGCTGTGCATTGTAAGGGGCAGCCAAACAACTTACACCTTGACTCCCCTTGATGGGATTTCTGGAATTTGTTCATGTGACATTCAGTTGTGTACTTATCTTTCTTACTAATAGATCTGCTCACTGAGATTGGTGTTCTGTTATATTAGGAAAATCTGTTTTTAATCAGTCTGTTGATTTAATTAGAAGTTATTAAGAGGAAGCCTCTTGGCTTGATTGCACTGGAAAGTGTCAAACTCCCCTTCCGAGCGGGGGCAGGGCTGGGAGCCCTCCCAACGGCAGTGGGGACTCCGAGGGTCCCAGGCGCTGGGCAGCGAGGGGTCTCCCTGTGACGATTTCAAGAGCCAGCTGCAACTCCACGCTCGGAAGAGAAGTGTTGGCGTGGGTGTGCAGTAACAGCAGTATTGGCAGAGGGCGGATTATTTTTAGTTCCAAGGAAGAATAAATTTGGGTTCCTGTCCAAGGAAGAATGTCCTTCAGGACCGTAAGTCACATATGGAGATTTCTATGGTTCGGCATAGGGTTCTCAATTGCCTATAAAGGCAATATTCTTAGAGTTTAATTTAAAAATTTGTGCCTATGACATGACGCGTTGCTGATAGAGCAAGTTACCTCTAAACACATGCAACATTCAGCTCTTTCCAAACTCAGGTGAAAAGTGAAGGTAGGTCTCTCCTGGACTGACAGTAGAGAGTTAGGGACGTCCCCAAGTGGCCGCCACGCACTGAGTGTCGCCCAGACATGTGCAATTTAAAACATGCAGCAATTTAAACATTTTGGTGTTTGGGGGCAGTGAACCCGGTAATGGCTTCTACCCTCCAGTCTGGTGCGGACCCGAGAGCAGCTGCCTAGCACCAGTGCCCCTGCGCCGAGGCCCAGCTGGCCCGCCTGGCCCGCCTCTCCCGAGACCAGGGACCAGCAGACGAGAAAGGTCGACCTCTCTGTTTTTCAGATCCCGTTTTTGGCCGAAGGGATCAGGATTCACGGAGAGAAAGTCACGGAAGCGCTGCGGCCGTTTCACGAGCGGATGGAAGCCTGTTTCAAGCAGCTGAAGGAGAAGGTGGAAAAGCAGTACGGCGTCCGGACCATGGTGAGGGGCCCTTGCAGAAGGGGGGGGGGGCCGGACCATGGTGAGGGGCCCTTGCAGAAGTGGGGGGGCGCAACAGTGTCCGAAGGTGGCAGCCTCCAAGGGCCTGTACACGATGTACAAGGTGGCACCATTACTGGCGCGAAACCCGAGACCGAGCAGGCCCTCTCTGCTGCCCAGCCCTGGCAGCGCGCTGCTCTGCACGGTGCTCAGCAGAGACTCCAAGGCCCTTGAGCCCCGCGTACTGGGTGTCTGGGCCCTTTCCAGAAAAGGCTAACCAACTCTGGCTCTTAACTGTTCTTTTGCAGTTTTGAACCTTTCCTTATTAAAGACCTAGTGTGCAAATCAAATTGTATTTCACATGCAAAACACATATTTAAGAAACAGGCCCACTTCTCAGATGGGGAAGTGGTGATATGTACAATCTGTAATCAGCCGGGGTCCTGAGCCGGTCTCCTAGGTGACTGGCTGAATGAGATGCCCGTTGTGCTGGGGTGGGGGTGGGGGCCGAGGGCACACCGAGATGAAGTGAAATAAAGGAGCTTCCGCAGCATCCGTGGTCCCAGATGTGCTGACATCTGGCTCAGGTGCGGGTACACGAGCATTTTCCAGCTAATTAGAGGTTGACGTGGCATATTTCAGGGACACACGTTTTTGGTAACATATTGTACGATAACGTGTCAAAGAGGATGGAGAACTCCATCCAAGGCCTTTTTTACTGAGAATGCATTACTAGTCCACCACCTGGCAGGGAGAAGGGGCGTGGGGTAGCTCCATAGGTGTCCTCACCTAATCCACTGTCCCTGTCACTGCCTGGGAGGGAGCACCCCCCCCCCCAGTTAAAGCAGGAGCCTCGTATTTTTGTCAACAGACATTAGGTCCTCACGCACCGTGACGTGCGGGGTCTGTCCACTTGCAGATTCCTGCATCTCACTCTAGATGTTCCTCCGAATTAAATTTTCTGGACAGTACTTTCCTACTGTGACTTTGGAAGAGGCTGATTCCTCGTGGTCTTAGTAAAGAAGACTGCATTTAAGTTTCCAGAAAGCCAAAGAAAGTTTTTCCTGATATTTTCCACAATAACAGGTCAGGTTCCAAAAAACAAGAAAAAAACACCCCAATCATCGCCATTTTCATCTTTGCCTTCGAACAGGAACGTGCACACACCGCCCACAAAGGTGCTGGCGGTTTGGGTCTAGATGCCGGGCTGCCGAGACCTCGTGGTCCCGGGTCTGACCCTGCCAGACAGGAAGGGTGTGGGGACAGACGCCCAACCAGCCCCCCCGCCCCTCTGTCTCCACTGCAGCCCTCCAGCCTGGACGACAGACGCGGCAGCCGGCCGCGGTCCATGGTGCGGTCCTTCACCATGCCCTCCTCGTCCCGGCCTGTGTCAGTGGCCTCCGCATCTTCACTGTCCTCGGACAGCGCCCCCTCCAGGCCCGGCTCTGACGGGTGAGTGGTGCTCAGCGGTTGGGGGGGTCATGGGGGGGCCCATGAGGAGCCAGCCACCCAGGCCCTGGGCTGGTCCTGTTACAACTGAGAAAAATTTTTTTAAAAAGCAAAACTGTCTTTGAAACGGAAACCCTCCATGACTTTGCGAACACAGTGCCCCGTGAGGCTTCCAGGGTCTTGTCTTCAAGAAGGAAGCTCTGTCCTGGCCAACCACTCGGGGTCCAGTTCCCATCATCGAGTGCTCACACCGTCCGTGAGGGACCAGTCCCCTCGCTGTGCCTGGGAAGAAGCGTGGTGCCCCCCTGCCATGCGCTCAGACTTCCCATCCCCGGCTCACTCCTGGGCTGCCCCCCAGGGCAGGACCCACAGAGTGGGGGCTTCCCTGAGAGGCACCTCGTCTGCCAGTCCTCCTTGGACAGCCACTTTTGCCTTTGAGCTCCAGAAAGCACAGTGCCACCAAGGAGGGGACAAGAACCTCACAGGCTGGTTACCATCCGAGCCCTCCCGAGCGTCTCGCGTTAACTCCAGGTGTCCAGCGAGAGCTTCCAGGCTGCTGGGTGGTGGCTTGGAGTGGCAGACACGTACAGCTGCTCGCCATTCAAACACCAGAGAAGAGCTTGGGAAGGTTTGATTGTCCACACAGCCGTGTGCTTGTCCTGCCCCATGTGGTTGCGATCCATCACCTACCAGCCCCCAGGCTCCGGCCCCCGCCACACGCAGACCCAAACTTCGAGGGCACCCAAGGGACGCTCAGCCCCGAGTGCCCTTTTCTGTTGGCATCTGGTGTACCCAGTGGAGCCCTGAGAGGGGCGCCCGTTTTTTTGGTTTTTTTTCCTTGAGGGGAATTTTTCAGCGTCTGCTATTTGTGAGGCTGGGCCTATGTGGAAACTCTCAGTAGAGGTGTTCAAATCATGTGTACTTGTCACTTTGAACGAGATCGCTGAAGAAATGTCATTCAGTTTTCCCTGAGAGAATCCCGGGCTAGTTCTGAAAAGGTGGCGTGTTTCCGGGAACGCAGGGAGCGGAGAGCAGTGGGCACGCAGGTTTCCATGAGAACAGCGGGGTTCACTTGTGGAGCTCGGGAGCCAGGGCAGTCTCTGCCCAACACCCCCCCCCCAACCCCCCCGCCGCCGCCCGAGGCCTCTGTTTAGCCTTGACCTGCAGGCATCTGGGACAGGGTCCAGGGCCGTCGTCTTTCTCAGAGTCTCCAGCCTCGGCCGTGTGACTAAGGGAGAGGAGATGAGGCCTTGCTCTCCCACGGCACAGGCCGCCTGCAGAGTAAAGCGTACCAGGCAGCAGCTGGTAACCATTTGGCAGGCAAACGGTTTTAAACCTGACCTGTCTCCCTCTGGTTCTTCCCCGGCAGCGTATCTGCGCCCCCAGCACACGCCCCGCCCCCCACTGCTGCCCAAAGCTGGACAGCGTCCACGGATCCTTTTTGTTCTGCACTATCTCGAGTTCTGCAAAACCTAGAATAAAATTAGTTATGTTTTTGATCATTGCTTGTAATACATACAATATCTAATGCATAATGGACGTGGGTTTACTGGTTAGTGCGTATCCAGCCGGAAAAAGCCCTGGAGCCCCAACCTGCCTTAATGACCGCAGTTAACACCAGCAGGGAGTGGCGGTCCTCTTTACATGTTTGTTACGGGGAATTTTGAGTACTATCTGAAGGGGACAGAAGGCTGCTGAGGCCCTGAGCTCATGAGCCAGCTGCAATAATAATCTTCTTTCCGTCTGCGCCCACTCTCTCCCTCCCCCGTATTATTTTGAAACAAATCTCAAAGTTGGTGCCTTTTCTTCCATAAATATTTCAGTGTGAATTTCTAAAAGGTAAGAAGTTAAGGAAAAAACAACCATTTATCACACATAAAAAATTAACAGTAACTTCTTGTTATCATCAAAGATTGGTGTCAATTTCTAATTGCGCCATAAACGTCATATTTTTAAGTTTGTTTGAAATTGAGCCAACGAAGAATGTCACAGTCGATGGATACATCTTTTTAAGTCTCTTCTACTCAACGGCTTTCTCTTCTCGCCTTTTCTCTTGAAATCCCCGGTCACTTGTCCCCTAGTCTGGACGTTGCCTACATGGCAACGTCCCCCATGGTGGGGTTTCCCGTGTGTCCCTGCCCCGCAGTCCCCGGCACCATGGCAGGTGCACCTGGAGGCGGGGCATGCTCAGGTTCGAATGGGGACAGGGTGGGACGTCGTGGCCCTCCCGTCTGTGTCAGTGGTGTCAGCAGCTGTTGGTCACCGACACACCCATTTAGCGCCACGACTGTCGAGGTGCCTCAGCAGCAGCAGATCCTGCGGCACCACCGGCTCCGCAGGGGGACCTGGGAGTGGGAGGAGATGCGGCCCTCGCTCGGACGTCCGTCTGTCCTTCAGTGGCCGTGCGGCATGGTTCTGAGAGCTCCGCCCCCGACTGGATTTCCATGTTACGTCCCCCATCCCAGGAAGGCCGTGGGCTGGCCTGTGGAGTCGGAGCGGTGGCTCGTTCTACTGGCGCCTGCCGCAAACAGGTTGACAGGAAGCCACGGCGAGGGCCTGCGGGGACTGCCTTTCTAAGCCCCGGTGACCGGCAGGCAGTCCGCCCTGGAGGGAGCCGGCGGATTCTCCAGGAAGTCCAGGAAGTCGGGGTGGCTCTGGGAGGCCTGGGACAGCCCCAGGGCAGCTCCGCCCGAGGCCCCCTGCCGACAGCCCAGGTGGTGGGGACCTGATCCGCCCTGCAGCCGGGCCTGCGTTGCTGGGGGGCGGGCAGCTCCATGAGTGCGCCTGGCCTGCGAGCTGGCTTCTTTCCCGCATGTGGAAGTGCCGTGTAGCGCACAGCGAAAAGGACATTCGTCAGAAGTCACAATTCAGGCCGGTTCTCCCCTGTGACAGTGTGACTCTAACTCCTTTTAAGAGACCACATCTCTGGTGAAATAGCATTTCCAGGTGCTGCGCTTTAAAAGATACAAGACCCTAACCCGAACAGTGCCTCACACCTGAGTTGGCTCCGAAGGTCTGAAGGCCATTTTCGCACCTTTATGCACCAGGGCTCCTCTCCTGCGCCTTCCTGCTGCGGAGGGGGAGGCTCCGGCTCAGACCGGAATCCGTGTCTGCCCTCCCCGATGCTCTGGGACAGAAACAGCCCGCCCCCAGCCTCCCATTAAAATAGCAGACCACAGTCGTGTGTAGGGGGGTGCCCTCTGCTTTGACATGTGCCTCAGATGCCAGCCCAAGACCCCTTCCTCGGTAGGCTGACCGTTCACATGCTTTTATGCTGCCTCGCTGGCATCACTAAGCAGCAAGGTGGGGGTGCCCTCTCCTCTCGTGACTGGGGACATCCAGCCTGCGGGGTCCTTGCCTCTAGCTCGGGTCTGGCTGGAAGCCTGCGCAGCATGTCTCCCGTTCCTGCACAGGGAGGCAGCCTTCATGTCCGCGGTCTAAAGGCAGCCCCGGCCACCTGGTCGGAATCGCCAGCAATTCCTTTGCATTGGCCTCCTCCTTCCTGTTACTCTTGTGACTGTTTCAGCACAAATCTCCAAAAGGCGAGGACTCCCCTTGGAAATGAACCCCAAGTACCCCCTCTCGTGGCAAGCCACAGAAACCCTGGGCAGCCTCAGACTGCCCCTCCCCGCCCCCGTCCTGTCGCTGCGGGTTCCGTTCCGGTTTGTTTCTGGAGCGTGGACACAGCCCGTTGACTGCCGAGGGTTAGCGTGGGCCTCGGGTCTCCCTGAGCCTCCCTTCTCACGTCGGCCTGTCCCAGCCGTTCCAGGCAGCACCACGCATTCCCGTGGGTTTGAGGGCCTGAGGTTTACACACCTGTGTCCTCCAGGTTTGCCCTGGAGCCCCTGCTGCCAAAGAAAATGCACTCCCGGTCGCAGGACAAGCTGGACAAGGACGACCCGGAGAAGGAGAAGAAGGACAAGAAGAAGGAGAAGAGGAACAGCAAACACCAGGAGATATTCGACAAAGAGTTTAAACCGGCCGACCTGTCCCCGCAGCCGTCAGAGGCTGTGATCCTCTCAGAAACGGTAATCCCCAGGGGACCCCCCCCCCGCCTCCCCGCACCGCTGGAACCTGCCCCAGCTGCGCGGTTAGCCAGAGTGGGGTTCACGGGATCGTCTGGAAAAGAGGCACTTGAACGGCCCCGGTCTCCCTGCACCACCCCGACCGGCCCGGTGCTACAGGGCGCTGTCCCCTGGCCTGTCTCTCACCACGCCCTCCAACCCAGGGGGACTGGGCAGCACCCACGTGTCCCTGGGCCCCCCGATGTCTCTGGAGACGCACAGGAGCCCTCGCTGTGCTGTCAGAACGCAGCGCTCCATGCAGGGTGCCCCCTTCCCCACCAGAAACCACTCAGCCCCCGGGACTGTCGAGGGGCCCCAGCTACTCGGCTTGAGGCCCGATGCCCCTCCCACTGGTTCCCCCCGCGGACAGTCCCGTTGTCTCCAAGGCCTTGTCTGCTTCACACTCGAGTCCCTTGGCCATCATCTTTCAGAAGGGTTCTCGGGGAGTTAGTGTGGCACATGGTGCTTAGTTCACATCAAAACCAGATTTCAGGAACTCCCGTTCATTCGAGTCCCCGTGGAGCCGAGGGGGTGGGCCTGGGCCGGGGGGGACTGCTGTGCCCAGAGCACAGGGCAGTGGTTGCAGCCTGAGGGCAAAAACGAGGCACGGACAGCTTCTGGGGTGCACGTGACTCAGAACGCGCCCTTTGTACACAGGTTTGTGTGGTGGTTAAGCCAGGCTTAGCGCCGCCTCCCCATAGAACAAAGGGCGTTCGTTTTCACGAGAACACACCTGCCCCAGGCAGGAGCCCGTGACCCATCCAGCTGTGATTGAGGGAGCTTGGTCCCAGGGCTCAGATGGGACCACCTCTTAATAAGACACACTTCCTAGTTTTTTGTATCTCGAACAGCAGAGGTACATTTCATCCAGATCTCACCCCACTCCGACCAGCTCACACGTCCTTGACGGTCTGGAGGCGGGAGGCAGACCCGAGAGCCACACGGGCCTTCCAGGGAGCCCCGCCCTTCGGACGCCTTCGGACACAGCTCTGCCTGCAGCTGGGCCTCAGGGTTCCACTGCAGCAAGCCAGCGGCCCCGGGTGTCAGGGCCCGGGGAGGGACTGGCCAGGCACTTGGGTGCAGCGCCCGGGCCTAGGCCCCCAGCAGTCAATGGAGGAGTTCCTGGTGAATGAGCCCACGTTCTGTGTCCACCGTTCTAGAATGTTGGGGTGCCAGCAGCCCTGCTGAGACTGGCCGACATCCCCTCAGCCGAGGGTAGGGCTCTCACATCATAACTGGGTAGGGCACTAACAGAAACACAGTTCGGAGGTTTGCTAAGTGCCAGACACCGTGCAAGTCTTTCACACGTTTGCACGTAAGCTCCCTCCTGAGCTGGCCGAGCAGGAGGCCTCGGAAGTGGAGCCAAGAGGCAGCGTCCATCACAATTAAGTTGTAGGAAAAGAGCTCAAAGGACAGCAGCCACTTGGCCATCACAGCACCAGTTCTGTCCCTTCTCGCCTGGCTATTTGCCTGCAAGGACACTGTCCAGACTGGGCTGAGCTGCGCACAAAGCGGGCCTCCCCTGGCTGGCCCCGGGCACCCTCAGCAAGTCCACGGGACACACCCAGGCCACCGCTCATGAAGCTGATCCCTCTGTGACCTCTGCTGGTTGTCAGAATGGCCACAGCTGCAGCTCGGAGCCAGGATGCCTGCCCTCTCACTACAGGCAGGCTGTTCTTGGTCCAGCCCAGCTCTCGGTCCCCAGAGCCACCACCTCTAACAGGTGACAAGTGTTGACAAGGCCCGTGAATAGGCAGGCACCTGGAATTCCCACACCACCCTCAGGGTGCCTTTGACCTGCCATCTGCCGCAGAACTGAACCTTCGAGGCAGGCCCCAACCCCTGGGAGGGTGACCACAGCAGGAGCAGCGGCCCTTTCTTGGGGACCACGCCAGCATCCCGAGTGCTCTCAGACACTCTGGGGCTGCACTGCCCCTTGCCTCCCACCGGAGCTCCCTGAGTGGCTGCAAAGCTTCCCGCTGGTCACTCCATGGGCCTGGGTTAGCTGCCCGCCTGTATGATGGGCAATTTCATTAACTTTCTCTTGAGCGCACAGCCAGGGCGGGAGGGGTTCCCCCAGGTACTGTTTGCAGCCCCCACTGTGACAGGCCGTGCTACCTGAATCACCAGAACTCGCCCTCATGGGATGGGACAGGGGCACCTGTGCAGTCCCTGAATCCGTGGCCCCGTCCGCTGTCACTGAGCTTCGGGCTTCTCACAGCAGGTCTCTGCCTGGGAGGGGTGGTACCTGGCCTGAAAGTCCGTCTGCTACCTGTGACCCTCAACCACCCCATTCCCCAAAGGGCTTATACCTGCTCCCCACTTCCAGCCTCAGGGCCTCCTGACGGCCCTTCCTTTGCAGAGCCCCTGGAGGGCACCCACCACAGCGCCTGCCCGCGGGGTCGGGCCCCTCCTTTCTGCTGGTTGGTAACATGTCTGATCACTCGTGCCACAGAGGAGTCTGGGGGTACCTGTGCTGCCCGAGGCCTAACGCTCTAAGAACAGGTCAGGAGAAACACATGAATGAAGTTTCCCGGTGTGACAAGCGTCTGTCATGGCTGTGGCCGCAAAGCGCTGTGAACCGGGGCTTCTGCAGCAGCAACTGATGGTCTCAGTCGGGAGGCCAGACATCTGAGGTCTGTGAGGGACCACGTGTTCTGTGCCTCCCCCCAGCTTCTGGGGCTTCCCGGGTGCTCTCGGGGTCCCTGGCTTGTAGAGCTGTCACCCTGAACTCTGCATGTCACACGGTGCCCCCATGTGCGTGTCTGTACCAAAATGCCCTTTGATAGGACAGCAGTCTTACTGGATTGGGGCCCGCCCTCATGACCTCAGCTCGGTCACCTGCAAAGACCCCATGGCGGGCGGTCACATTTGTGGGCCCAGGGGGTTAGGACTTCAACATGCAGCATGCCTCAGCCCCAGGCAGACCCTCACTGCCTTCCTTCTGCCCCTAATACAGATAAGTCCCCTGCGGCCCCAGAGGCCGAAGAGCCAGGTGATCAATGTCCTCGGGAGTGAGAGGCGCTTCTCAGTGTCCCCATCGTCACCGCAGGCCCAGCAGACCCCTCCTCCAGTCATGCCACGGGCCAAGCTCAGCTTCAGCCTGCAGTCCAGTAAGTGGGACATTCTCGGAGTTCAACCTCCCGCCACCCCGACCCACCCCCACGGGAGCCTGGGCAGGGTGACCACTTCTGCCCCAGGCAGCAGGGCAGCAGGCATGTCCGGCAGCCACAGCTCAGCCTGGCTCCCCGAGGTCCCAGGGAATGTGTGGGGCTGGGCCAGGCTCTCCACCTGCTGTGTGCAGGGGGGGACGGGGGGCGGGACGCAGGGAGCTCTGTGGGTGGAGACCATGCTCGGGGTGACGAGAGAGGTTAGGAAACAGACTGCGGTGGTGGTCGCACAGCAGCAGAAATGTAACAAATGCTGCTGCTCTGTACACTGAGGTGGATGAAACGGCAGATTTGCGTTCTGCACATTCTGCCGCAATTAAACCAACCAGCCAGCCAATCACAGGGATGTCCCTCGACCAGAGGCATTTTCCTCTCCCCCCCATTCAATGCCCCCCCCACCATTCCTCAGCAGGTCTTCGCACCCACTGACACAACTCCACCCGGGAGAGTTTTCCTGATGAAGGCGTTTTCAGCAGATGGGTCATGGGGAAAACCCTCAAAGAGACCCGTCAGCAAAAATGGCAGTTTTCTTTCCCCTCTTTAGTACCAAAAGAAAACAAATTCTAACAGTCGCCACAAGGGCCCAGGATCTTAACGATCATTTCTCTATTTGCGAACGGCTGCTTTCCTCGTTCGCTTTAGAAAGTGGCTCACCCTGCAGCTGCTGGTAACCCTGAGTCCCACGGCCACACTCCCCCTGTGGAGCAGCGGCTCCTGGCCGTGCCGCGTTACAAGACCTTGCTCGATGACCTTCTGTAACCACTGTGCAGGGCTGGGGACAGATGCCAGCTGGGCTTTGGGAACAGCAGATGGAGACTGTCCTTGTGACACCCAGCGGTATCGGGGCCCCAGAAGTGAGGGGACCCTGGAAGGGATCAGAAGGGACCCCAGGTGGACATGGCTGTTTTTACAGTGGATTCAAGCTCTGGTTTAGGTGCCTCGTGGTGCCTGGTGCTGTCTTTCTAGAACACTCCCTTCTGTCCATCCTCCCTGCCTCCCTGTTGCTCCAGAGAAGGGGAGCACAGCACCCCCCACCCCCAGGCATCCACGCCAGTGGGATGTGGGTTTGACTTTCAGTCCGTCTGGTTTCCCAGGTTTGGAGCTGAATGGCATGACCGTGACCGGGGGGGACATGGCCGAGGTCCCGCCGCCTCTGCCTCTGAAAGGCAGCACCGCCGATTACGGGAACCTGATGGAGACCCAGGACCTGGTGGGCTCCCCAGTGCCCCCGCCGCCACCCCCACACCAGAGGGTGAGTCGGAACCTGAAACGTGCCTCTGCAGAATCGAGTTCCCCCTTCCCGATGAGAGTGTGTCCACATCGGGCCGGCCCGGGCTTGACCTTGACTAAAGAGGCCGAGGGGATCACAGCTCTCTCTGTGGGTCTGCTGTCATCGCTTCACGAGGGACACAGGTCCAGATGTGGCTGCAGGACCAGGGAAGGGTGGGGCGACATCCCTGTGATGGGCACATCAAAGGGCTGACCCCGTGACCCTGGAGGTCACTCCACTGGAGGTGTGGTTCTCATGGAAGTCTGATTTTGACAAGTAGCTTTTCTAGGAAGACGTCTGTCTGACTTGTGTCACTGGCCAATGTCACACTGCATGGGGACATGCTTCTGTTGGAGACCAGCCCGGCCCCTGGGAAGCCCTGTCCCAACAGCTCCTCTGGAAGCGTCACCCTCGTGCTGGGGGCAGACAGGTACTTGCCATTCAGAGAACCTGCAGGGTTGGTCTCCAACTTGGGCAAAGCCCAGATCCCCAAGGCCGTCTGCCCCGGCTGGGCCTCTCCGGAACCCTTCCCCACTGAGATTTGGGGTGCTGGCCGCCGCAGGCTGGTGCTGTGAGGTTGGTGCCCTGTCTTGTATCATTAATCTTGTCCTCTGGGCACAGTGCCGAGTGGCCCCAGGGCCTGCCCACTAATGCAGGTATTAGCTGAACAGCTTCAAAGGCCGTTTAAGCCAGTCCTGTTACCATCCACAGCCCCAGTCACATTCCTTTCGCACTCCGCCACGCTCCTCTGCTGGCCTCCCCGCTGCTGTCACGCGGGGGGCTCTTGGCAGCTCGGTGGCCCGGCCACATGCGGAGGGCAGCGTGCCCTGGAGGGGCGCACAGTGTGTCTGCTCAGCCTCCACCCAGTGACTGTGACCAGAGCCCCTGTGGGACCCTGAAGACATGGGTGTTTTGTGGCTGCGAGTTCTCACAACGGAAAGCATGCTTTTCTCCCCTTAAAAAAGGCAACATGAATTCTACAGACTTCATCTTATGGAGCCTTTTCACTGCGAGCTCTGCAAGTGTGTGTAATACTCCTCCGGTGGTGGGGGGAGCTACAGTCTGTGTATCTGATGGATTTATTGCTCTTGTGTAAGAAAATCAAACACAAGAGTGGGCTTCATCTTTGACGCTGGAGGGATGATTGTCCTTCTGAGGTTTCAGTGCCTCTCTGATAGGCCCATTGTCCCTCGAGATGCCACCCTGGGGAACTGGCCCTGGAGACGAGACACGTGACCCCACGATGGCTTTTCAGAGGCTGGAATTGTTTGTTGCTGCTAGGGAAATGGAGGACTCACCAACCAAGCACACGTGCCAATAAAAGGAGACATGGGAGTCCAACCAGCACGTTGATTGGCCAGGGTGTTGTTTTCCTAGCAGCTTAGTTAACCAATCAGATCTCTACTTTCATGTCTCTGTTTGACTGGAAAAGTGGGATTGTCCGTGGGTCTCCCTGCACCAAGGAACCATAAATTCTGAACCTGGAAGTGTGAGCATGTCTGTCTGGGTTACCGATCACCTTGGGGCACCACATTATTTGCTCAGCTTCCCGGACACAGCTCCCACATTACCGGTGCCAGCTCGCTGGCTGAGGACGGGCCCGGGCACAAGTTCTGCTGCACTCACACAGGGCTTCAGTTTGAGTCCCTTCCCAAGGCTCTTTGCTCTCTGTTCCTATTTGATTCCCCAGCAGCATGAGTGCGCATTCAGGTGACCCGGCCATGGGGGTGTGTGCTGTAGAAAACGGCTGCGTTCCCAGGGGCCTCCCTTTGCGGAGACCCTGCAAGCTGTCCTAAGAGAATGATTGTTCCCCTCCCGGGGGTGACCCATAGACAGCCTGTCACCCTCAGGTGTCAGCCCTGGGCTTGCAGCCCACACCCTCCCTACTCATCACTGCTTTAAATGGTCTCTTACACCCAGCAACCCGTGCTATTGCATTGGGTGTGGGAGACGGGCCTCCAGGCCATATGGGGTGCCATGGGCTTTGGCAGCCATGCTGCCGCGATGGAGCCAGCCTGGCCCTCACTGGCTCCCCATTGGCCCCTGGTTTGTGCCCTGTCAGCCTGTCACAACCAGTGTGCACAGTGACCTCCAGGAGCTCGCTGACCTGGAAATCACAGTGCACCTGAGGCCACACTGAATGGCTGCCGGTAGGGAGAGATCAGACTGCAGGGGCCTGGAACTCAGGTTTCCTGGGGCCTCAGTGGGCTCTCTCTTTCCCGGTGAATTTAAAAGGCAAGAGCAGGAACTTAACCATGGGAAGGGGAAAATGGCCCAAATGGTCAGTTACTAAAATCGATCAAGACCCCTAACACCAGGGCTTCAGTGGGGCAGTGACCGCCCTTGAGCCCCGTGCTGCGGTGTGCTCACTCAGAAAGCCGTCTTCAAAGCGGCTGCCTGAGCAGTCGAAGCTTAAATCTGGTGCTTGCAACACCAAAAACAAACAAAAAATCCTGTCCAGGTTCACAACATGCAAACAATCATTTCGTCAGACCTCAAAGTAGGTGTTTCTTGGAAACTTTCTTACTGAGTTAAAGTCTGTTTAACTTCCCCCTTTGGAATGTCTGAAAACCACCACGTCTGCTGTTTCCGCACATGCGCACTTCCTCCTCCGTGTGAACCGCCAGGTCATTGTAGCATGTTGTGGTCTGCGAATCCGGAGGAAATTAGCAGACGGTGGTGTCATCCTTCTGTCCTTGAAAAGTTCCACCTTGAGCTAAATGTGACCCTCTGTAGAGAGGCTGTTCGACCCTCCCTCACCCTCAGGTGACAGCGCTCCGGGATCCCACCTGGTCTGCTGCACCTGCACCGCGCCCCCGCTTACCTGGCCCGTCCACCTGGGCCCCCACTCCTCTGTTCGCTGGCTCACTGATTCACTCAGTTACCTTTCTGGTCAACTCACAGCGGTGGGTCCTGTGTAGCAGGTGCGGGAGGTTCAAAAGCAAGAGGGGCGGCCCCGCCCCCAGCCCTCTGCGCCTGTGGGAGGCAAACGGGCCTTTCTATCACCTGTGCAGTCGTGACCTCATTCTGGGCTGTCAGGGAGGAGCCTGTGGTCCTCGGGCCAATCCTGCCTGCCCCCTGCGGCCATAACATCATCTCCGACCACAGCTGCGGCATTTCCTTATTTACGGACCCTCCCTCCGGAGGAGCTTAAACATCCCACTAACCTGGCTCGTCCTGTCATCTGCAGTTTCAGGAGAGACTGTGGATGAAAAACTGCCTTGTAAACAGGGCACTCAGATGGTGGCCGCAGGTGCCAGCCCAGTTCCCCCAGCCCTCCTTCCTGTGGCCCTTCCAGTCCAGAACTCAATAGAGAGCATCTCTCCCACCCCCTGGGAGCATCTCTAAAGAGCACTTGCCTGTCCCTAACTGGTTCACAGGCATCTGCAGGGGCACGGGGTGGGACCCTTTGGGCCTCCTCAGAGAAGGCTAGCAGCGACACCACAGGGCTGCCTGGGTGGCCCTGGGTCCCGCCGTGCCCACGTTCACTTGCTCTGAGGCATTGAGCTGCCCAGTGCTGACACCAGTTCTTTTCTGGGCCCTGGATCAATGGCCCAGACAGAAAGCTGCCACACACTCAGCGGTAGCTGTCCTTCCAGGGGCTGTGCAGAGGGCGGGAAGGCTTTGTGAAAAGTGCTTCAGCAGAGACACCAGCGGCCCAGTCCCGGGTCCTGAGCCTCACCGGCCTGCCAGCCCCAGGGCATGCGGAGAAGGCAGTCCCCACCAGGGGCGCCAGTCCCCTCTCCCTCCCCGCTGCTGGGCCAGGCCAGCCTCCGCTTGGAGACATTGCTTAACTATCAGAGTGTCAGTAATGTGCGCCCCCTCGCATTCCTGTCTTCCAGCACCTGCCACCTCCGCTGCCCAGCAAAACCCCGCCGCCTCCCCCGCCAAAGACCACGCGGAAGCAGACCTCCGTGGACTCCGGCATCGTGCAGTGAGCGGGGAGCACACCGCCGTCCTTCCTGCCCTGTCCCCCTCTGTGATTGGCGTTTACCTCGTGGGACCCGTGATGTCTGGCATTTAGGGCACTTGCTTTTCCTGCAGAGGAGTGCGCCCTCAGCCTCGGAGCGCATGGCCTTTAGTGTCGGGAAGCAAGAGGGATGTGGGTCTGGGACGTCCTGGTGTGTTTATCAAAACCGGGGGCTCCTGAGTGGGTCCTTGAGAGAGCCTCATTCTTGCCCAAAACCCTTTCCTCCTGTGCCAAGTGCCGTGTTAGCGAGGAGCAAGGCGGAGCTGAGCAGAGCGCAGCAGCAGCAGGAGTCAGACCATCCATCGTCTTTGAGGACCAAGCAGCCGGACCTTGCAACGTGGTGGCCACGCCCCAGCTCCCACGTGCGCGTCTGATTACCCAGCCCTCCTCGCCGCAGCGCCTGCGCGTTGCGACTTCCTGCTGGTTCGCTGTACGTCAACCTGCGTCAGGCAGTTCCGGTTCGGCCTTTCCGGAGAGGGCCTGCTCGCCTTTGGTCTAATTTGAAGTAGGATATTTCTCAGCTACTGAACAGTTACTAATTTATGGAGTGGAGACAGCATTAGAAACACCGGGTCGAGTGGGGAGACCGCCGTGAGTGCAGGAAGATCGGGTCGCGCACTCTCTAAATCCAGAGCGCACGTCCAGCGAGAGCCGGCCCTCGTCGGTGAGTCCGTCCGCCCTCTGTCCTCTGTACAGACGTGTGTACATACGACGCTCCTTTTCCTCGGTGTGGGCCTCCCACGGATCGTAGTGGGCGTCCACAAGTGATTCTCAGTGCTCGTTCTTCATTCTTAACTGCTGGAAATGTAAAAAGCAAAATCAAAATTAAGTTCTGTTCCTTTCCAAAGCTCTGAAAATGTCGGTGAATGATGATTTTAAAAAACTAACTTTGTATAACCTAATATTTGTACTCTATCGTCTATATTTTTGTATGCACTGTGATCACGATATCCTCCCAATAGGCTCAAATGTTAATCATTGACGATGAAAAATAAAGTATTATTTAAAAAGACTCACCGCATCTGAGCACGAGGCTTTTGGCCCCGAGGCGGACCGCAGACGCCGCCCTTGGTCTCTGCTTCCTGAGACCGCGCTGCGGCCCACACTCAGGTTCACACCACCTTCTTCTGCTCTCAGCCTTCTCGGTTTAATCGGCTCTGACTGGGCCCCAGCTGCGCCCCCCTGCCCCCCAAGGCGCTCGGTGTGTCTGCGTGTCTTCGCAGAGAGAGCCAAGCACAACAGCCTCCAGGTTGGAGCCCTGTGCGCGCACCGCACCCAGGGCCGCGCCTGCACCTCGCCTCTGATGGTGCGTGGTGGAGAGAAGGCCCCACGGAGTGGGATCCGTCCTGTAACTGGAGACACCATCAGGCTCCGGAGCTTTCTTGGCTTCTTAAGCGGCAAGAGACAGACAGGCGGTGGGGCCCTGGTCTGCACGCGAAATGCATTCCCCCGGGTCCCTCCCAAGCGTGTCCCTGGTGAGCAGGTTCACCGAAAAGCCATTCTTCTGGCTGTGTGTCTGGCTAGCGAGCCCCAGGCGACGGGGTGTCGTGGCTTCTTTGGGTCACCCATTCCTCGTGTTCTCTGAATCGCCACTCTTTTCAGCTTCTGGGAGCAGGTCTCACACGCATAGAAAGCGGCCCATCCGCTCACCCCCACATCAACCATCGTCCGCTGGTGTGTTTATCAAAACCGGGCCGCTGTCTCGCCCGGTGCTTTTCCAAACTGCATGTTTTTCTTTACAAAATGGTTGTCTTACTGCATGTATAGCTTTCTGTCCAGCTCTTTCCACTCCGCACGGGTGTCTGTGTCACTCCGTGTTTTTGAAAGCATGAAAAAAAAGAGGGCATGCCTCTCTGCCCCTGCGCCCAGGCGGCTGTCCCAGAGCCCCAGATGCTCGGGCAGTCCTTCTCTCCTTGGTGAACGGACCCAGGTTACTTGTGCTTGCTGTGAGAATCCGCCCCACCCTTGGGCATGTTAGACACGAGTGGGTAAGGGGTTTTTCCCTTGTGAATCCTCACTCTTTGACCAAAATAAACACTCATCCTCTTGAGTATGTTAGAGGTCCAATACTCTCCGTGACCCTAAAATAACTGCATCGGCACACCACCCTAGGAGAGCGGGGGAGAGGCCAACCCCTGGGGGGCGGGGGGGGGGGCTAACTTTGCAGTGATCTGCCGTTCACATTGCATGAGCTATCACCAAAATTTGTAAAACTAGCTCCTAGCCCTGTGGAAGATAGTAGTTTTTATTCTAGAATGGCGTCTGGGTTGTAGTTCTTCCCTGCTCCTTACCACTGCCTCCTCCTGGAAGTCCTCCTGGATAATCCCCATACTCCACATTCTGCCTGGATCCCCCCCTTTTCCTGCAACAGCTGTCAGAAATCCCAGGTTGGTGTCTAGAGTTAGAAAGTACACTGCGAACGCAGTAATTAGAAATGGTACACTGGACACATTTGCACGTTACAGGAATCTCCTATATGACATTATAAATACGCATATATACTCACAAAGTAGTGAACTTCAAACTCTGCAGACAAAATTTCTTCCCCTTTAAATCAGGGGGAAGATTATGGACTGGAAACCATAATCACGGCGAAACTGGCATCTGTGTCGCCTGATGTCTCTGGGACCCTTTCCTTCTGGAATGAGGCCCGGGGCACAGCTTGCCTCTCTGGGGGCAGCGATGTGTTCCTTTCCATCAGTGACGGTGGTCCTCGGCCTTCTTTCTTTCTCGCCTCCCAGGCAGCCTCTCAAGGCATTTTTTTCTAATCATTCTTTACCATGAAATTTTAACAGCGTGGATAGAGTATGTATCCTATTTACGTAACTTGATATGTATCTGTGTCTCATCCTGAAACAAAGTTGGATTTTTTGTCCCCCGGGAACCAGTTTCACCCTGGGGGTGATCTGGCCTTGTTGAGGACGCATGCTCTAAGTCAGGAACAAGGGCATGTGTTCACTTTTTGCTTTGGTTGCCAGGAAGCTCAAAGCCACATGTAGCTCTCACACGCTCACCTTTTCATTTTATGGTTCTGCCTTCCAAAGTGCTTTATGGTTGCTAACTAACTCATTACTAACTCATCTTTATTTTAACTATCCAGTTTAACATGTGCTTGCTCAAATCTTTACTAAAAGAAGATAGTGTAGAAGCTGGATTGTACAAGTAGAAAAGTCTTTTTCTTATTTAAAAACCACCCTTGGTGCTCAAAGACTGCTTCCTGGTATTTAGAGAAATTATTTTTTAATCAATGTTAAGACTTTTTTATGTAAGATGTGATCTTCTTCATTATCTTTGGCTCTGGACTCTTTGATGGTACCAGGCTGGACTTTCATGCTCGCCACAGTCTTTGTTGGTGTAATGGATTTCAGCTTTGGCTTTGTAGTTTTTATCTCTAATTACTTTTTAGTAATTGACTTACTTTTTAAAGTCTGTTTGGGGAATTTTCCTTTTTTTTTGCTTTCCAATCTGCCCTTTTTGAATTATTTAAACATCTGTTCGGTTGGTAATGGCTTCGAAAAACTTGACAGGGACCCTGCTGGGCAGTAAGTCTCTGCTCCCGAAGAAGCTGAAATCGGTGCCGCCTGTTCCTCCCCGACAGAGGCAACTGCCACCTCAGGTCCCGCGACGACCTAAAGGGTGCAGCTCAAGCTCCAGAGGGAAAGCAGGGCCTGCGGGGACATGGGGCCCACAGCAAGCTCGTCCCCCGGCCCTGCAGCACCCACGCGCCCCCCACCCCCACCCCCTGCATCCCCTAGCGGGCACCCTGTTCTCCTTCCAGCCGCTGAGCACCACAGCCTCAGCTCCCTCCCCTCCCTCAGTCCCGTTGCCTGTTGCGGCCTCTTTAGCTGTTGCTACACCTTCATGTTTCTTTTCAGTAGCGGGAAGGGCTGAATTTCCTCTGTTCTTGTTTCTCGTAACTGGCGTGGCCTTCACCTGTCATTCAGTGTGTCCATGGCTCCGCACCAGGCGCTGTGCCGGGCACACAGGTGAAGGAGAGAGACCAGGTTGCCCTCCCGGATCTCAGAGTCCGGTGAGGGAGTGGACAGCAGCCAGGTCGGGTCCAGTTCGGTGAGCCACGCGCGGTGAGCACGGGGCACGACAGAGCAGTGACGAGCCGTTCAGCACAAGTGCCTGGGGAATGTGCCGTCGTGGGCAGAGGGCCGGGGTGCGGGGAGGGGAGGGGGGCGTTCAGGGGAGGGGGAGCGCCCCGGGAGAAGGAGTCCAGTGTGGAGGAGCGGGCTGAGGGAGGCCGGGGAGCATCCAGACGGGGCTACCCTGCTTCCAGGCCACCGTGCCCACCCTGGGCTTTGTCCTGTGTGCCCCTGACCAGTGTCAGGGGCAGGAGGACCCACCCAGCCTCCGTGTCTCCGGGCCATGCTGTCCTGCGAGTGGAGCCCGGGCACCATGGTGGGGCGTGAAGGAGCACACTGCCGTGTGATGGGGCGTGACGGAGAGCGAAAGTGTGAAGAGCATGGAGGAGCGCGGTGGAGCGTGGTGGAGCATGGTGGAGCATGATGGCACATGGAATATGATGGCACATGGAGCATGATGGCACATTTTAGAGCATGGTGGAGCGTGGTAGAGCGTGGCGGAGAGGGCAGAGCGTGGTGGAGCGTGGGTAATGAAGGCCAGCTGGATGGCGCGAGGCCAGGCTGCAGTGCATCTGAGTGAGCTTGCCAGCCACTCCAGAGCGTGCGCTAGATTGTGGTGGCCTTGGCATGTCATGGGTCCCATGCCGCTGGGACCAGCCCGTGAAGGCACCGTGGGCCAGAACTGCCCATGGTTTCCTGCTGACCCTCGGCCGCGTGCAGGGAAGGGTCCGTGGGCAGTGGCAGAGCCCTCCCTGGTCCGCTCTGCAAGGCTTCAGGTAGCTTTTCAGACCCACAGAAGGGCCACCTTGCCCGAGTGTCCCAGTGTCTCACCACGTGGGTGCGTCCTCTTCACGGGCTGTTCGGGGCAGTTGGTTCCTCCTTAGGACATTCCTGTGGCTTCCCTGGTCCTAAAGGAGAGCTCAGCTCCTCTTCCTCTCCCTCCTCCTTCCCTCCCTTCCTCAGGCCATCATCGGGGACAGAGCAAGGTAAGCATTCACTCTGGGAAAGGGGCCGAGGGGTGTCCTGGGCGGCAGAGCCACCTGCAAGAGGAGGGAGAGCGGACCGGTCTCCCGGGACGAGGGCAGTGAAAGGCAGGGCCGCCAGCCCCCGAACGCACCCCCTGCGATGCAGCAGCGCTGGTCTCCGGGACTTCGTCCTTGTTGGAGCTGGCGGCGTTCTTGTTGTGGGTGAGCAGGGAGACAGCCCACCGGGCAGGAGCAGGCGGGTGTCTCCTTCTGCCGCCCTGCCCTGGGCCGGGTCAGTGCCGGTGGCATCTTCACCTCCCACGGTCATGACAGGTCGCTTCCACAGGGCACAGCACACACACCGTGCGGACAGACCCATGGAGACCACCGCCCCCAGCCCCCAGCCGTGAACACAAACGCAGAAGCCACTCGGTGCAGAGCCCCCCCCCCACTGCCTCTGGGGAAGAGCACAGCAACTGAAAGGTAAAAGTAATCATTCTGGGGACGACGGCATTTCTGAATTAGCATAAATTATGCTATTTTGAAAGACTTGTTAACAGGCAATTTAGCACCGTGCACACTTTCAGGAGAGGAGGGCACTTCACACGGAACAAGGAGCTCCTGCGGGAGGCAGGGTTATTTTTGAGTCCTACGTGGTGCTGCCAGTTTCTCCGAGACGACACAGATGACCTCCGAGGGCATCTGCCGCCTCGGGAAGCTCCTCCCCTGAAAAAGTAAACTCGGGAGTGGAAGGGATGATCGTGAAGAAGCAGCGACAGGATCGTCCCTCGGCTTTGCAGGAGCATCAGTGAAATGGGGCTCGTGGAGAGAAAGGAAACCCGGGTATTTTAGCTTCAAAGTAAAGAGCCTGCGGTCGTCTCAGGCCGACAGCCTTGGTGGGGCCCGGGGTTGGGTGGGAGGGCTGGGGGGGGGGGCGGCTATGGCTGA